GACGACAGCACCGTACTGAATTATGACGAAAAACGACCGGAAAGTCGTGTGGTAAAAAAAACCATGGGAAAATTATACAGTGACAAAAAGTATCTACAACATTTAATAGAGGATGACCAGTTCCCAGGTATGAAAATATTGCATGTCTCAGTTCTGTAACGATTTTCACCGTAGATTCCAAAAAGCCCCTTGACGTTCCCCAGTTCCTGACATTTTCCTGTCTCTCTCTGACATTCTTCTATGAAAACCTGTCCTTGTACCTGATTACCCTGTCTACTCCTGGCGTACTCTGACTTTCTGATTTATTATATACTCATTCTGGTTAACTGCTACTGTAGGTATTTACAGTGTATATATGTATATTGGTATACCGCTAGTAGTTGGTGTGTCCATAAAAAATTAAAAACAGTGTACTTTACATTTCTTATTTTTTTCTGCAGCTGTCATGGGAAGCTCTGGAAGCCCGGTGGGTGACATAGCAGAAGATGGATTTCACTTTTTGTTAGACCGCGCAGCTTACTGGGATCGGTTAGGACCACTTCCGCCTCCACCACCTGCGCGGAGATTCCGAAGTCGTTTCAGCGGAAGTACCTTGTCCATGAACTCATTAGATAGTTTCAAAACGACAGACACAAAAGCGTCATGGAAATCCACAGACTCGACAAAAACATTGAAAACGACAAAATCATCCAGATATTCGTTTAGTAGCAAGAAGGAGAAATCTAGTCCTAAACCCGATCCCAGTAAAGTGGAATTTAAATTCCCGTCTATCAGACTTTTTGATGATTTCCATCAAAGAATGATGACAGAAATCGCAGAAGAACAAGAAACAGATGAATCAGCAAACAGAACATCAGATTCAGAGGCGGATCAAAACCAAGAAGACACGGCCAAGAAATCTGTGATGGAATACATGAAGAAAGAAATGAACGCGATTGATGAAGGTAATGGGAAATTTAAATTCGAATTTTTACCTAATCATGAACAACAATAGATGTTATGATAAAACACTTCCCTTTTCTATTAGATTTCAGATCCAATAAATTTCGAAATGTTCAGGACAGATGCGAGGCTTGTCTGGAACTTCTAGGACGTTACTATGAAACAGAAATTCCGGATAAGTTTGAAATGGTATCGAATTTGTATAGTTACCTTGGTAACGCTTCAATGCAGCTTGGTAAACTGGACTTGGCGCTCAAGTATCACCAATTGGACCTTAGCATTGGAGAACAGCTGTAAGTTATGATTTTTATTTTTATTTTTATTTTTGCAAAATAGCTTCATTTCTCATTGTTAACATAATACCGGTTCTCCAAATTGTTTCGTATTATGTTTATAGGGATAGGAGGAATATCCGGTACAGAGCCCTGGGAAATACTGGACGAGTTTTCATGATGAAGGGAAAACACAAGAAAGCACTCGATATGTAAGCCCTAGGTTTTTTGTTTCTCGTATATGATAAAAATTTAAACAAACAATAGTATTAAAATCGAACATTCTGAAAAAACATGCAGATTTTTTGGGAACGATCTTTTCAATATAGGTTTGTAACTTGAAGATCTTAAGATTTAAGTTTATTGTGAAGTGTTGTCTTAATCCAGAACGCTTGGTTGTAATCAATTTATTGTCTTTTCTATATATATTTCAACACTAAAGAAAGCACCTCATAATAAATTTTAATGATAAAAGGTTTATAAGAAAAGCCCCACTCTGCAACACTCCGCGGGAGACGGCTTCTCTGTTCCACGAGATTGGTAACTGTTTTCTGATGCTGAACAACTTCCACAGCGCCAGAGAATCCGGAAGGAAATCAATGAAAGCCGCAGAAGAGGCTGGGAACGTGCAACAACAGCTTCAGGCATGCGTACTTGTGGGTCTAGCAGAAGGTGAGGAAAATAGGACTTTATAGGCAGAATATGAAAAAAATGTCAAATCATTTTTGACAGAAAGAAATTTTGCATTTCTTAAGTAGACTGTTAGATGACAGATAATGCTTCCCAGAATAATTTGGGTTTTTTTTTTATATGCAATGCATTTTTATACCAGTTAAACTATGAAGGATAACACTGATACTTTTGTTTTAGTTAACATGAAGAAGTATGAGAGGGCTCATAGTTCTTTTGAGAGGGCCCTGGATTATGCCAAATCCTTGGGTAAGTATGAGAGAAAAAAAATGTAATAATAAATCTTTTTACTCTACCCGCGGACTAAAAAAATATATATTAAAAGTATCAAAATAGGCTCTACTTTATACATTCATACGGTGAGATATGCGTCACTTCCGTTGCTTCCTATCAGCTCATAGCAACTCCTTTCGATTTCTAAGATTTATATTCAGAAAGATAAGATGCACCGCTGGAAACCGAGTTCCTGTAGTGTAAAGACGTTTATTTTGTTTATTTCAGTTCTTCTTTATAAATTGCAACAGACACTTTTCTCCCCAGTTTTTGATAGCACCTGCTGACATCTTTTGTAAAATATATACCGGTATATAAAATTAAGTTATAAAATTTTATGAAATTTTGACAGCATGTTATGAATGACATTGATTCCGTGTTCATTTTCAATGCAGGCGACGAGAGAGCGGAACTAGCCATGAAGAAAGCCCTGGTTGATGTCAACAGAAAAATCGCACTGAAGATAAAAAAGAACAATAGTTCACATGTAAAAGTGGCGCAGACGTACCCCGACTCTGACGTCAGTACTGCCAGAACGTCCATATTGGTGGAATGAAATTAACTGATTAACTGTCAGAAATAAACAGTCTAGACAGACGTGAGAGGACAATACAAATAAATATGTTTTAAAAAACAGAGCTAATGCACTTTACTACTATAATTCTTGATTTTTTTTTTTACATTTTCAATGATTTAATATTAACATTTTCTGTCACATTATTATAAGGACATATACATTGTTATTCGTTATTATAAATGCGACTTTGTCGTCTCAGTGAATTTGCATGGCGAGAATGTACGCGTCAATATTGTGAGCACATGTCTACCAAGTACATGTATATGTTTGTATATTTTGTTGCACTTAATCATGCTATTTATGTTGTTGTTACTGTTTACCTATGTGACTACGGATAATGTAACATTATTGTTATGACTTGTTATATATTACAATTTCGATTTTGTCTCCTGTAAGCCAGTATTAAATAAGGACATTTACAATGCAGTATAAAACATGGATAGATCAGTATTATTTTATGTATGCAAATTGTAGAGGTAAAAGTATTTAAATATGTGTACATGTTTTACATGGAAAAGGAACCATGAATCTACTGATATGCCATATGAATAAAATAATGAAACTCAGTTTCGAAAATTGTCATTGAAGTTAGCAAAACCCGTTTTTGTGCAGATAACGTCAGGCTTATGTTTCAAATAAAATTGATAACAAAAAAAAAAAGGAAAAGTTCAATTTAAAAAAAAAACAACGCTGAAAGCCAGCAAGAAAATTAAATTCCCACAAATCTCCCCAACTTATTAGATTAAATAACTGCTCAAATGTCCAAATATTACATTAAATTCAGTATAATCAGTGTGCTGACACGTATCCCTCAATTCAATATAACTAACTCTATGGATTATATTTATGCGAGACCACTGTCAATATTTGCATTCCACGTCATCGGAGTTATTAAGGATTCTTATACATATTATTCTAAAAGCAAAACGCTTGAGCAGCTTTATATCTCATATTAAAGTTATCTGGAATAGACATTAATCAAAAAGTCAAAACGGAACATCGTTTACAGGTGTATACGAGGGTTGATCCAAGAGTAATGTCACTGTGTCCATATCTTTAATATTTGGCGTCACATTATCAAATATAATGCACCAAAAGATGCAGAAAAATAAATCTAATCCAAATTGAAAATTTCATTTAATAATGTTTAATTGAATTCATTATATTTACGTTTAATACGTTAAACATAGGGGGTGTCTTCGCGTCAAAACTAAACGTCACGTTTTAAAGTGTATATTGTTAGAATAAAGAAGACCAACACATTTTTAAAAAGGCAATTTAAAAAGCGTCTAATCGCCCAACATTTTAAAACAGACAAAATTGACGACAATTTCTAGTCTTTATGTAATAATAAAGTGGCGACATTGTTTTTTTTCATCATAAACATTGTTACTATATCTGATGTTTTGAAGAAAGGAAATGTCGAAATGGAATAAAACGCCGAACTGAGTTTTAATGCGTTTTTCCTTCAAAATCGGGAAATCGCCAGTAGAGACAGTTTATACGATGGTAAATCAGACTCGCAAAAGAAATAATGTTTAAACGAGACTTGTTCATAGATGATTTCAGAGATTTTGGGCGGGTCATGGGTAATTAATTGATCAACTAGGGACAGAAAGATCAAAAGATACGAGGTCGGGTGGAAATGTTCAGTGGCGTCGACGTTGTCAAAAAAGAGATTCGAGTCACGCGGTTTGAGTGATACATTGTATGAGAAACTTTTAAGTTTGTCTTATGGTACTCAGTGTTCAAAGACTAAATTAATGATAGAGTGTACAATTGGTGATAATAATTCTTAAAGAAAGTTAAATGTGTGAATATGTTTTTAAATATCAATTATTTTAATGAAACGATGGGAGGAGTTTTTAAAACTGTGTGACGGCGCATATCCGTTTTTGAGGTGTGGCGACTACCATAATTGCACTTTGTATATAATTCGATATTTTGAAAAGTATGAATCATTTCAATTTGAATTTTTTAGGACTGATTTGAAATACATGTAGCTACCATCAGGTATAATTTTGATAATTTACGTTGACTAGAAGCAATTTTTATCGGAGTTGTGACATTACTTTTGGATCAACCCTCGTACATGTAAATGAATATTTCTTATTTGCTTTGAAGCATATTTAACGAGTGCGACTTTATTGATAACTTTTAATCCTCTACAGTACAGATGCACTCATTTCAAAACTGTATGGTAGAAATGTTGACCGATAAAAAAAAACTTGTTATTTGTTTCCAAATGTATTTTATTTCTCACAAAATTCAAAGTCAGAAAATACAATTAAAACTCAAAACAACGCTTTTAGAATTAAACTATGAACTCTTCAAATTTTATTTAAAAATAAATAAGCAATCAAAATTGACACCTTTTCCCTTCCTGTGATACACGTAATGTATTACGTGTTCAGTCACATTTAGTTTGCTTACTGGTCCTCATTCTTTGTTTCTTACTTTTATTTCTCATCATTAATGACCTACATGCACTCCTGGATTTGAGGACATGATCTACAAATTGATATCGAGACTTACAGACAAACGCACAGAAGGGGCACGAAGCGAACTGGCTGATGGGAATGTGACGTAGGTGTAGGTTCACAATGTGGTTTTTCAAGTGAATACGTTCATCAAACGCTTCACAACAAATGAAACATTCAAGGTTCTCTTGGTCATTTCTACAGCAGTAGTTATAGTCGAGAATGGCGCGGATCTCGGGGTGAACGTGTTTTAGTAAGGCTTCCTTTTTATCGCGATCCTCCTTACTTTCTTCGTTGTTGTTCCCTTCTTTACTAAAGCTTGGCTGTCTGCATTCTATATCAGGCCCCAGAAAATTATTTTCATGAACCAAAGGGTGATTTTTGTTAACATCGTAGGTTTGTATGCCGTCAAGACCCGTGGTAGCAGGTAAGGTATCGCAGCCTAATTCCAGGTATGAGGTGTTTCTTTTCTGGTAAGATGACACCGCAGTATTGACGCTTCTATCGCTTGTATTGCCGTTGTTGTTTGAAATGTTTTGTGAAGGTAACGCAAAATGTTCGGATGGATCCGAATGCGATGTCGGGAATAATGGCAGGACAGAGTTAAGTAGAGCTTCCACATCGATGATTGATTCGTCTTCTGCATCATATAAATTCTGGGTAGAATTGGCACATTGACCGTCTCCTCCTGGTATACCATGTTGGTTTTGGAATGTATTACCATAAAGGCTCTCAGTCTGGGGATCAAATTGTTCAGGGGCCAATAACATACTTGCTCCGGGCACTGAATTTGATGACGTCATAGATCCGAGTGTAGTTCCTGATTTCGGGTTCGTAAGTGATGTTGAGGGTAATTTGTCCATCTTTGATGCTATTGTTAGTCTAAAAAAGATATTATTTAACTTTCTTTTACTCAATATTACTCTTACATTGGACTGTTATATCAGATACGAATATTGCTATTATAAAAGTAGACGATACATGTACATATTATGTAAGAGCTGCACTGTAACGTGTTGGCGCGAATGTTATCGAAAATATTCAAATAGATCTAGAGCCCCATCCCCCTGTTTCTATTCATTTGTTAAAGTGCTTGGTTTATCAAACTCAGTGTAATATATAATTGGTCTTTGTGGGTCAATTTAAAGAAAACTTACATTATTCACAAAGTCTGCTCTTCATCGGAAGTAATAGGTTGGTCTATAAAACCACGACTATAAACACGCACGCTTATTTTTTCCGGAAAATATAATCTGGCCAGTAAAAGTATCACCGATGAACATAGAAACAGCATGATCAGGTAGGAAATATCACCGATGAACACAGAAACAGCATCATTTACTCTTCACCTTCACTTTTATAAACTAGAGAGACGTGGTTTTATAGGTTTTGGTTAGCACCCCCTCCCCTCCAAAAAAAACCTTCACATCTTTTTTGCCTCTTCAAAATTTCCCGATGTGTAACTTCTAGCCCCATCTCAACAAATTACAAACACTTATATTTACTCCTCTGATTCAGTAAAAATTAACTAATTTTAATAAACTAATTTATTCCACATGTTGCTGATTTACACAAACACAGAATCAGAATTCTTTTGTTTTTCGTACAAGTGTTGAAATATTTCTGCAGCGCCCGTTCCATCCGCCACCAGTAAGATCCGCTCACAATCATTGAAGCAACTGTGATGTCCGATTCCTAGTAATGTCAGATACTTTGGTACAAAATGGTGACACTGAGACTGATATCTAAACATATAACTTAATCTGTCAAGAAGTTTTATTGCCAAGAATATGAGACGAACACCATGTTCATGAACACATCCGTGGTAATGAAGTGTATGTCGATTTCCTCTGTATGGTTTGACCCCCAGATACAACCTCTTCCGATGGTCACGTGACATCGTATCCGATACTTGCAACATGAGATCGCCACTATCGGATGACAAAATAATGGAAGGAGATTTTTCATTTGCTTGTTGGTTGATTAATTTTTGAATTCTTCTTGGACGTTTGTTCGGTTTGTTTTCTTTACGACAAGTAAACACTCTAAACACGCTGGTAGATTCAGGGTCTTTGATGACGTCTTTTTCCATGAGTCCTAGCACACTGGACAACAATGGAACGATGTAGTCCTCCTCGTAAATTAGAGGTCCGAGAGGCTCCAGGCTTTTCATCTCCACGTTCTGCAGAAAATTGCTTAAAATCATATATATATTTCATACTTCAATATCAATTCAACTTGAAATAAATATGTAAGAATATGTACCGAAGAAATCGAATATTTCTACATAAACAAGTACTCACAGAATTATCACCGATGCTTTTAATGCGGCCTCTCTCAACAATGGGGAATTATGTGCAAAACGACGGAGAATTTTATCAAGCCAATTAGTGGTCAGTGAAACCCAGAATTTCTGAATGAACTGACACATAACGTGTTCATAAAGTAAACAATTGAATACAGCTAATTGCGTAATATGGATATTTTCTTGTTCAGATAGTATTTGGCAAACTAAAATGGATAAAACTTAAAGAAGATTAGACTAGATGTGTTCAGTTCTATTCAGATTACAATAACTATTTGGAAATTACATAAAGGAATTCAACAAGATATATTTGTAAAGCTGTCCGACCTGTAGCTAGGGCTTACATTCTTTCGAAGAATCATCACATCCTAAAGCCTAAGTGATGCCCCTAGTGAATTAGATGTCAGGGGTCAAGGCCAGAAAATTACACCCCTTCTTTTTCCCTTAAGTGGGGCATAAAACTATTCTGAATTCACATAAATATGCTCTTCAGTAAACTGTACAGTTGAACTTCAGTATCCAAAACACAGATAAATCAAATAGGACCATGACTGTGTCAAACTCATTTGGAAGTCCCAACTACAATGTACTGTTTTAAAAGTAATTTATCCAGGATATCTCAAATCCTTGGATACCTCAGTTTCTTTCTTGACTTGGTCCCATTGAGTTTGAGATAAGAAGATTTGACTGTATATATACAAATATTCATAATTTCAACTTAGTATCACCTGAGGAGGTACATGATGATATAAAAGTATGCTTGTAGCTTGTATACAAAAAGCACAGGAAAATCCAGTAAAAATTGTCTAATCCAGGCACAAATGGTTCCAAAAAAACAGATTAGACAAAATTCCAGAATAGAAAGCATTCAAATCTATTGAAATTACCATAAGGAACTAATAGTTCACCTCGTATTAGACGAGATTTCTGATTACACAATATTCAGATTGGTCAAGTTTCACTGCAAACATGTATTCTTGAAAACGGTCTATTTTTGAGGTTCTGGCTCCAAACTTCAGACCAAAGGAAAGCAGAAATTATGAAATTCTAAATATTTGTTCCCTTCACCCAAACATGTCATGTTCTTTAGTAAGCTGATGCTGCTTCAATCATTTCAATGCAGAATATACTTAAGTTTACTGCTTAACATAGTAGGAAATAGATAACCCTTAGTCATCAGGCCTTTTGTGTCCTAGGAAAGGATAACCAACTAATGATCATACATGATAACATTTAATTGAAATGAATATGTCATAATGAAGCATTTATGTGTAACATAATCAGAAAATATATTTCTTTGTCAGGACAGAAAAACTGCAATGAAAGATAAGAGTTATTTCCCCTGTCATTTGATTAATGAACTTGAATCAAACATTTTCAAAAATTAATAGGAGAAAAACAAGAAACTTAAAATCTATCAAATGACGAGAGAAAAAAAACTCTTTTATAAGCATTCAAAATTAACCTGTCAATGACCTACCACACATATTAAAAATAGAGAAAACTTGTTTGTAGATCACTAGACTAGCTCATCACCAAACACTGAATTAGTTATGTACACCAAACATACATGTATGCTATGTACACAAACTTCATTATTATTATAAGGCAAAAATAATCTTTACAGAGTATCAACACAGCATACTTAATGTTAAAGGAAACAAAATAAACATATATATTTACACAATACATTAGACCAAATTAGGGGAAATGACATACATGTATAGTACATAAACTGCATCTTTTCTGCCTTGTATAATATCATGGTACATTGTGCCATCTTTTTGGTCCTCATGATGTATTGACTATGTAACATAATGTAGCATTTAATATTTACATGTAAATATTTTTTCTGAATAAAAATGAAAAGAAAGTGTTTTTAAAATTACACATTAATATGAATGTTTACTGAAGAATCAATGTCCCTTTATGACTTATGGACGCCTTTTTCCATATAGTCATTTGGACTTTATAAATACATCATACAGAAGCTTTAATGACAATACCATCACAGTAGGGTACAATATATAAGATCTCGTTTTATCATTGTCCTCTAAGTCCTTTACACGGCGAGTCAGCTTTGCCACTGCGTTTCTTAGCTGCGTATTCTCATCTAAATCATTCATTAAAAGTGACTCATTAATGGAATCCCCTGGGATAAAGGGTTGAGGTTGTCTTGAGCTCAGCTCCCTAAAATGAAAATACACAACAATTACTATTTTTCAAATCGATTAATCATGCTTGTATATACTGTATAGGGCATAAAATCCTTTAAACATATAATTTTTTTCTGTAACAAGAATTATAAATTTCAGATTTAATCTGAATGAAAATTTCTTTTGGCTAGAAAAGCATTCTCCATTTCTAAAATTACATCTGTGACTATTACTTTATTGTCTTTCTGTCTTCTAGTAACAGACGGTGAGACCTTGTACCAAAGTTGAATTATTTTATAACTGATACATTGAATAATTGAATAAACAATTATTTCTACATGCATCTTAGTTTAAATTTAATTTTATACAATCATTCCATGACGTGTTTAAATTCTTAAAGTAATTAATAGCAATGCATTCCCACAGGAGGCTTTCTTTAGCTTCTGCCTACCCATTAGGTACATATGTGCGGGGATGGTTTTGTGACATGTTTTGTTCTCTTTCCTCTTCTTGTCTGTCCTCTAGTAAGGGGAAGTTTAATGCTTCCTCCATAGTTAGGGTCCTGGGTGGGGTCTGTAGTCCAACATAATTCACGTAAGGCGTCGCTTTATCAAAGTCCAGCTGTTGAAAGCCTTGTCTTCCTCCTAAGTGCTTCCCTTCACCTGTTACAATGAATCAAATTAAGTGAAACTTCATCAAGTATGATTATTAACTTTTTTAAAAAATAAATTCACAAATTTTCAAAACTTGCAAATAATAAACTGGCAGTATAAGTGGAATTTTCAATGGGACACAAAGTCAGCGATTTATATATTTTTATTCCTCAATAATTTTTTTTCAAGATAACTTGAGTTAATTTTCTGTTTTACTATTATTTATTCATGAACATATTTTTTTTTTAAAAAATAAATTCACCTGGGCCCCAAAACTCCGGTCAGGTGCTCTACCAACTAGCTATCTGGCCAGTACATTCCTCCCTCCTTAAAGTGGAATTTTCAATTGGGACACAAAGTCAGCGAGCTTAGAGCATATATTTCTATTCCTCAATAATTTTTTTTCAAGATAACTTGATGCATTTTCTCCTTTCCTGTTACAGATTTGGTGCCGTTGACCACCCCTGGAATTGCAGGTGAAAGTCCTGCCAGGGGCAATAAGAACTTGGGTTGCTTCGAGGGCGAAGACATTTAAGGAGGGAGGAATGTAATAGTTTGGGCCGTGGATATCGGCCTATTAGTTTAGAGCATTCATGAACATGCATTTTTTTCCTGTTACAATGAATACACCTATGAATAGTTCAAAACCTTGAAATATAAATGATTTTGAACATGCAAAACAAATAAAATAAAAATCATCCTCTATGCAATAAGAGAGATAACTGCAGGGAATGGTGAGCTCTTTGATTTCATATTCAATATCATGTTTTACCAGTAGATGTTCAATGAATATCATAAATTTTACAAACAGATCATGTTTGACCATGTCAGAGACATGTTCAGCATTTGAATATCATAAATTTTACAAACCTATTAGGTACTGTTTGCAACATCTAAGCTCCCAATTTTCACCCCACTTTGTTTGTGTACATGTAAATGATCTAAAGAAAATGTCTACTTGGTGTTTTTTTAACATTTAATTTCCTTACTCATGGTAACTGTCATAATGCAAATCCAGAAGGACTAAAATTTGTTTTACTTTAAAAATATAGTACATTACTAGCATTTGATACTTTAAAAGGAATATTAATAGCTGACTCTCTCTATTCAATGGTAGACCCCTACAGCCATTCACAAACTTGAGAGTTTAAGCATAGTTTGGGGTATTTGTATCAAAATTAATGAAATTGATAATCACGTACATAACCACCCCCACGTGTAGTTTTGAAACGTGACGTTTATGTGATAAATATAGCATAATAGGCCCCTATGTGTTTTATAAAAAATATGCAAAAAACTGAAATAGCTGCAGTGCTTGTTCTACTGTCTAACCCTTTCATTTAATCACTATAGCTTCATCAATCTGTATGCATGGCTAGCCCCCCCCTCCCCAACCCAGCTATATCTACAACGGCACACCAGTTATTGAACTTGTATCTGCTAAAATTATACACTATTGTTGATGTCCCTGGCATACTCTCATAACTAGACAGTGATTCCTTATATTTCCATTTCATTGTGAAATAAAATTGTTGATTTAGGCTTTAAAAATGCAGACATACATTTAAATTACACGAGGATTCCCATCCCAATTTTAGTAGACCTCGCCGAACACAACAGCACAGATGCATATTTGGCCTCCTTAGTGTCAGACTCAGAGACAAGCCTGAGTTTGTGTCTTCTTTCAAAGGGGGGAGAAATAAGTATATGTTTTTCATTACATTGTAACAAAGCCTTAATATTGAAAAACTTACAAGTTATAACCAAGAGTATGAATAAACAATCAGAGTTAAAAAAAAAAACAGCGCTGATGTTTCCGGTAAAATCTCGTCATTTTTCTATTTCTTTTCTTTTATTTTCTTTCCTTTTTTTCTTGATTTATATTTCTAATTTTTTTTGGAGGGGGGTGTATACATTGTTTTGGTCCGCAAAAAAGGGGGGGTCCGGACCCCCTGGACCCCCCCTCTGGATCCGCCCTTGGATACGAGAGTATTCGTAACAGGAAAGAAAGGAAATGTAATGTACCAAACAAGGATTTTAACCCTGCCCCCTTCTCCCCATTCAATCACTATAGTCATATGCTCTACCAACCCAGCTATCTGGCCATGAGTTATTGAACTTGTATCAGCTACATTTGGAGCCATGCCCTGGAAGCGACAGATGAAAGACTCGCCACTGACGAGCCTGGGTTTGTGTCTTCTGGGGAGAAGACATTTTTTTCTAAATGATATTAAACTTACAAGCTATAACCGAGAGTTGAAAATACAACAAAAAACTCTCACCTGCCACCATGATTCTGTCTGGGACCTTCATGTTATCCGCCCTCACCCCCTCCACCCCCACCAGATTGTAGGGCACCTGCATTTTGCTGCTAATGTGGCTGATGAATTCCGGGTCATAAGACTCAGGCTGGACATCACTGTAGTCAGACGGAAGGCTCTGAACTCGGGGTCGGGGGCTTTCCTGTTTGTTACAATAATGATATGACATCATATATATACAAAAATAACTGTCAAAGTGAAACAGACATCCATACTATATATTATCAAATATAAATTAAAATAACACAGAATTGAAAAATCATTAAATGTGACAAGTCTTCAAAAGTAGTGTGACATTTAAATGAGAAATTATTGTTTATTTTCACTTTGACTTTCAGCTGGTCATATACGAGATCTACCTACAACAAGAAACAACCCATATTCAGTCAAGAAAAGAATCTGACAGATATTGTAAAGTGAAATATACCTCTTCATCCATAACCAAAATGTAATCGTTTGATAAACACTAGTGATTTATACAGTCCTTTTTTCCTTGTGAAGTTTCACCTTCTTGCCATGATCATTGTGCACAGAAAGTCATGACGTAAAGCACATTGTTGAGACGTGCAGGATCTGTAGTTTCCGAATAATGAATGTATGCAATAAAATATCATGCAAAAGAATTACAATTCATTTTCATCTTTTTCAATTATTTACTGATATTATATTTTCATACAATTATCTTTACATCTCAGAACTTTATTATCATTTGACAAAGATTGCTACTTTCCGGAAAAGAAGTTTTCGTTTGAATTTTAGAATGACTTCTAACGCGGGAAAATTTAACAACAAATCTACTTCTGAACTATTTATAAAATGGTTTGGAAAATACAACGGTATGCTAGACAGAAAACAGTCCATAAAGGGGGTGACACCATTGAGTGGGATGTAAGTATCCTGGCGTATTGTATTTTCGACCTATTTAGATGTTATTTATTAATTTATCACAAACTTTATAGAATCTGAAAAAATATGGGCTTCAAATGTTAGCATATGTGTCTATAAATAAAATGATATAACCCAAATTGCAGTTTTGTGTTTATTTTATTTATATGCCATGAAATGGATAGGGTACAGTTTTTCTTACAAAAATATTAACGTCTTGTGTTTTCGACCTAAATATAGTATCAACGCCTAATCAGTTTTGGCTATAAATATCCACTGGCTATTCCAAACAATAAAAATACGATTGTCTCTCTTTCAAAAAAACATTGAACAAGTTGCATATTTGGTTGCAAATACATATTTTCTTTTGTTGAACCTATCTGTTAGTATCTTTGCATTTCCCCAAAAAATCAATGAAATTACGTTGCATTTTTCAGTAAAAATATGTAAGAAAGTGCTCATATTAAAGGAAGAATAAAAATTGTTTGATCCACCCATTCATTTCAATATTCATGCGTCTCTGTGACAGAGATCTTAATTTTCTTTCGGAAAAATGTCATCAAAAAATATTTGCAATTAACTGATTACGGCTTTGATTAATCAACATATAAAATATGCATTAGTAAAAAGACTAGAATTTCTGAAATCGGACTAAAACCATCGAGGAAATTCCATTGAATTAATTATTTTGGGTATCTTATTTTAAAGTACAATCGTGCTTCTAAGGTATTTTTCCAAGTGTAGCAAACGAATATAATGTTCTACCGCGCGGAATCTGCACGAGAAGCAGATTGGGAAAAATAGGTCGAAAATACAATACGGTCGAAATCAGGATACGAGACGATATACAAAAAAAATTACTTTGACACTGTAGGCTTGCTGCAGATCTGTAGCATTATGGTTTTATATATTTGTCTTTGACCATAACAAAGACAAATATATAAAACCATAACGATCTGCTAGTCTCGTTTTCCCCAGACTCTCGCTCTCGAGACTTTGCCCGGGCAAAGTCTCGAGAGCGAGAGTCTGGGGAAAGCGAGACTACAGATCTGCAGCTAACTGTAGGCAAACTTTCCTTTTCCAAACCGATACTGTGGTAGTGGCGTGTCATTGTTTTTTGTTTGGTTTGCTAAAATATTTTTTCATCTAAAATGTTCCAGTGCAGCAGTTTTTTTTTTAAACAAATAAAACATTTTCCGCTTTTTTAATTTATTTCTTTTTAATAAATGTGCTCAAAATGCTATTGCTACATCATTTGAAAGCTGCGATATTTCTTATACATGAGTACATGTTCAGATGAAATACCGGTAGTACTGAGTGACAGTCCTGAGCCCTTCAAGAAGTGTCTAAGTTTATATGAGGACGGGCTTCCAAATACTCATAATGTGAAAAAAGCCCAGGGGCCCGTTTTACGAAAGGACTTACGACTAAGACCAAAAACTTCAGTTGATTGTAAAATTTTGCAAAATTATTGATTGAAATTGAAATTGCTACCATGAAAATATCTTTCAACATTCCTTTTAAAAAGTCTAAAATCGTTTTCAATTTAATGCAAATAAGAAAGTTATAAGCAGAATAAATGTTGGTCTTAGTCGTAAGTTCTTTTGTAAAACTTTTTCTATCATTGTTGCGTAAATTCTTAGATGTATTTTCACAATACCACAAAGAAAAGGTTAAATTACTACAGCATAATTTTTCAGTTATCGAGTCTTACCTTTTGCACAATTTTATTTATACAGAATTTTATTCATTTTGCGCAATATGTTGTTCTGATTGTCAATAAAGACAATAAATAGAGTAAAAAGGAAAAGGAACTTAAGGAAATGTATATAAATAGAGAAATCAATACTTTTGTAGTTGTATAGTTATGCAATTCATTTCACTCATGAACTATATGGAGATAACGAACAGTATTCAAGATCAAAAGTCTATAAAACTACACGAAATAGGAGCGAAGCAAATACGAACCCCCAAACATCAGAGGTTGGATCAGGTGCCATGGAGGAATGAGCATCCCCTGCCGACCGGTCATGCCCGCGGCCGCCGTGTGCTCCTTGTCATGATCGGGAAATAACGGAAAAATCCGTCGTCTATTCAGTATATAAATAATGGACTTAGTATTGGTATGAAAAACGTCAGTCAGCAGTTGACTCAATGACAATATGTATTTGCTGACAAGGTCATTGTATTGACCAAAGAACTAACGAAATGATGACATTATACGAGACTGCTGATTTTCTTGTTTCATTAGGAATTTGTTTATCAATCATTTACCTCGTTTTAGAAATTGTACATACATAGAGCATACTCTTGCTGCATATCTAATCAACTGAGAGAAACTCCGTTTGAAGGTAACGAAAGTGTATTCCTGCATAAGTAAGGGAAGTTAATGTCTTTTTCAAGTAAAATATCTAAATATAAAAGAGATGTTAATTTCAGACTGTGATATCTTTTATCTCAATCTCATCGGGAGAAATCATAAGAATGGAAATAACCATTGTTAATTGACAATACGTCGTCGATATATCTAAATGTCGCGTTAAAGGCCAAGACAAGTGTTTTCTTCTTTCACGTATAAGATTTTGGACAAATTCTGCTTCATATGCAAACAGAAATAGGTCTGCTAATAACGGGTCGCAATTGGTACCCATGGTAATTCCAAAAGATTGTTGGAAGACCTGGTCTCCAAAAAAAGCAGCTGTCAATGATTTCAAAAAGTTTTTAACAAAATTATTTTGCAAATGACCAATGACAAGGTAAATTTAATGAGTTCCATTTTTATTCACAAAGCAGCTGTCAATGATTTCAAAAAGCCTGAGACGTACTTAGAAGTATTACTTGTGCTTCCCTCACGTAAAACTGCACCACTCGCAAAATAAATTCATCATTAAACCTCAAAATATTGTATTCTTTCTATTTATCAAATGTTACCATCCTTTAATTTATAAATTAAGTAAATGGTTATGATTAGTTCTCATAAATGTACAATGTATCTATTTTGGAGGATTTTGATGACAAGCAGTCTCCCATAGAACTGAGAATTCAACAGGGAAACATGACTCTGATCCATGGGAAAACTGTTAGGGTGAGACTTAAACTGAATGAATTTTAATAAAAAAATTAAAAGTGTAAGTAAAGAAACTATAAATGTCTATTTTGCCAATAATGAATTCTAATCTTAAAAAAATAAAAAGTGTAAGTTTAGAGGTTTGTGTATCAAACAGTTCACATAAGTACAATAAACTTGGCGTTTACTAGACCCACACACATATTTGTTGACTCCTGTGAACAGTGTGCACAGCTATTTTGCCGATTACTGTTGAATTTTCTAACGTTTTAGAGAAAGTTCTGAAGATTATACACAGATTTGTCGCTGATTATATTAAATAAAATTTATTTTCTTGAATTCTAATGTTTCATTGCTGATAATATTTTGCATTCATTTTCTGAATTAAAAGCCATTTCTAAAGGAAAGGCGACACTTTTTTGTGCCATTTTGGTTATCTATCGTTTAGAGGTTTGTATATCAAACAGTTCACACTTTTCTTTTTTTAATGTTGTACAATAAACTTGATCTGCGTTTATTTTTTTCATTCCAGACCCACACACATCGATTTCGGGTCAAGTTTGCAGGGGGAGAAAACTCCTGTGAACAGTGTGCACAGCAGTTGTCGGACTTCTTTCCAGTAAAAATTTTACCGATTACTGTTGAATCTTCACAGGTATCTATAACGTTTTACGAGAAAATTCTGAAGATTTTTGAAATAATTTGTCCCCGATTATATTAAATAAAATTTATAGAATTTAAGAACTTAGAACTTAGAGGAGAAATCAAGGAGTATTTCGATATAAGTAATAAAAAAAGTTAAAAATTGAACAACACACGGCCTCTGGTTGACTCAATTTCAAAATCATGTGCCAACATATGGAAGAAAATTTTAAACTTATTCCATTCAAAGTAACCAATTTTTTATATACATTCCCATTTATGAATAATTTATATTTACATCAGCAGGGCGAAAAGGAGGGAAAACATGATAAAGAGGTGGTCAAAGGGGAGATAACTATTTCAAAAATGGCGGAGGTGGGTAATTTCTAGCAAAAACATTTTTAATATTAAGAAATATATATAAAGTATATCTTTAAATATTTCATTTAAGAGTCATGGTTTGTATTTACCGAATTTTTATCCCGTTCGATACATTTACAATTAATTATGGTATGAAAAGTCCAACCTGTCAGTTCCCCAGTGTAGATTGTACAACATAATACATAGACACATTAATTAAGGAAAAAATATTTATTTCATACATTTCATTTTGCAAAAGATTGATTTTCCACAATGCCTAAGCTTAATTCATGATTTATTTATCTAAAAAAAAAAAGGTTGTCAACGGAAGAACTGCGTCTGTGAAACTTTCGGCAGCGTATGACAGAGCCCAATCGATGAACGGAACACAATTAAACACACTCATCAAATTATGTTTGGCTGATCCTCAGTTTCCGGCGTTCGTGGAAGAAGTCGAAAAGGAATTAGTCAAAATCAAAGATGAAATGAAGACGTAAGACAATCACAAAAGGATCCAAGACTTCTGCAGGATTTCTGATTTGTCGATGGTGGGTTTCAGCACAGTTGGAAGATTGCCGTCATCACGACCACGTGATCACCTTGCATTGGTGTCTTCTAAAATGTGAATCCGTTACTGACTCTAACTATTCTACGCACTATTTTATTTTTGTTTATCATGCTACAGCAATTATTTCAGCTTGAAATTATAGTTACAATTATCGGTACTTTTATAAAACAAGAAACCAATATCACTTTCTGACTCACATTTTAGTATTTTTTAATAATGTATTCAAGTAAAAATATTCTTTAATATAGTTATGATATATATTCGGAGGATACGGCGATAACGAACAGTATTCAAACTCAAAAAGTCAATCCAAACAACACATCTTCGGAGGAGAGCAAACATGGATCTTTAAAAATCAGAGATAGGATAAGGTGCCATGAAAGATTGAGCATCCCCTGCTGACCGGTCACACCCGACGTGTGATCATTGTCATGATCGGGAAATAACTGAAAAATCTGTAGATAATTCAGTGCGTAAATAATGACTTAACAATTAGTATGAAGAATGTCAGTAAGCATTTAACTCAATGATAGTTTGTGTTTGCTGATACTGTATCAACCATAGATTTGCGAAATGATGACTTTAAACGGTACTGTTAATATTCTTGTTTCATCAACTTGTTCTTCAATTTATAAACCACTATGCAGATGACAAGGGTTTATTGCTACATATATATATAAGAAAGGGAAGTTGACAATTGAAAAAAAAAGGAAGTCGTCGTGTTAATTATAATTATAAAGCTTTGTTGTTAGATAACCAATAACGTCATTTTCTAGTAAAATAACCAAATATCTACCCTTAATTATAACGTGTCGACATACCATGCAGTGTTTTTCAATAATACGTCGTTGATATATCTAAATGTCGAATTGAAAGTCACATTAACAGGCGCGGATCCAGAATTTTTTTCCAGGGGGGGTCCACCTCAGTCAAAAAAAATCCAATCCCAGAAATTTCTTGACAAGCAAAAAAAAAACTAAACTAAACTCCTGACCCCCCCGACCCCCCCTCTAGATCCGCGCATGATTAAGTTTTCGTGTTTAAGATTTTGAATAAATTCTGCTCCATATGATATGAATACAAAATTTGGTCTCCTTATAACGGGGCGCAAATGCTACCCATACGAATTCCGACAGATTGTTTGAACAAGTTGTTATCCCTAAACCATAAAGATATCAATCAGAAACTCGGTCACCTTTTTTACATCAATATCAGAGTACTTGGGTGTACAGTCTGAATGTTTTTTAACAGAATAATTTTGCAAAAGTCCAATAATAAGCTAACGAGGTCAATTTTTATTGAAAAAAAAAATCAGCAGTGAATGATGCCAAAAAGCCTAGACTTTAATTTATCATGGGGAATGGTTGTATATGAAGCTGAAACATCGTATGTTTTGATGTTGCTGAATTTTGGTAAAATTTTATTTTCCAAAAGTTCCTTGGAATTTTTCAGTATATCTACTTCAGATCTGCTTTGCAACACTTCTCGAGTATATTGTTGCACAGTACATGTACTTCTGAAATTCTTTCTTTCACGATATTTGGTATTGTGATATACCGCTTCATTATATGATCTAAGTCATATTGAAAACACTTCGAAGCTTTAATTAATAAAAGTAATTAAAATGCATGTTGTATCTGCATCTTGTCTTATAGGGCTTCGACAAAACTGTATACAGTTTATGTCGTAGCAAACTACCAATCGTTCTTGTTTCAAGTGAAAAATTTGAGGATCTGAACAGTTTGTAGGTATGGATAATAAAATATTGTGATTTATAAAGAAATACAGTTAAATGCATTACCATATTCAAATTTCATTATTACTGTAACAATATTCGGAAATTATTACAAGTCTATTCTATAATCTCTTCTTTTTATATACATATTGATTTATTGACTTCACCAAGGGGTTTATGTTGATTTGAAAGATGAAATAAAACCGACTTTGCTGGAGTATAATCTCTTTATTCCTTTTTTAATTATTTTATGAAAACATATAAAAAATGAAGATAAAGCGGCAAAAAAAATTATTCGTAAAAAGGCACTGTACAAAACGTCTGATAAAATATTCTGAAAAACCATTATACTGAAAATTGGACGCAGGACACTGCGCAGACGTAAGTCGTTAACATTCAGTTGCAGGATTATGTTTTAGGTCGGGATATTGATTTTTAAAAAGCTTTCTACCTCTGTAATCTACAGAAGTGAATTTGTACTGGTTATGTGAGAGGAATTTAATGGTGATTCTAAAATTCCGCAATTAACTTTGCATTTCCAAAACAATTGAAAAATAATTACATTGTGTAATGCACTGATTTGATTTGGTTTAGTGGCTAATATCCAATGTGCCGAGAATCCTTAAATCAAGGAAAACCAATTTACATAAATATATTTCTAATAAGACAGCCGTTGTCCGATTTCTGGAATTCGGTAGATGGCGCTATGATGTCCCGGCTTTGGATTGGTAATTCCTTCATGTCCACTCTCTCTCTTTCAAGTATTAGTGACACAAGTCAGGTTATTTGTACAAGACTGAAAATAGAAAGATCAAATATGATGCTTTAAATGAGTAATTTAAGCAAGATAAAAAATATATAGTACTAATGATAAGCAAGATGTGTTTGTGAAACACTGATCCTCCCCGTATGGCAGCTTAAAGAGAAGTTTCTCAAATGCAAGTCAAACTCTAAGGTCAAAAGGTCAAAATTGTTGGTATCCCAGGGAAGGTCTTCTCGCAAGAAATACATATGTGAAATACACGCGTGATGATTCAAAAGTTATGACCAAGATTATGTTTTGTTCACATTTGTAATCCTTGTGAAGAAACCAACAACGTTGACCCTTTGACCTTGACCCCGTAGTTTGACCTACCTTTCAAAATTATCCTTGGCCATTTTTGAAGAGGTGGTGCTAGCTAAGGCTTTCATATTTCATAATCTTGTAATTCTTTTGAGAAGACCTTTCTGTGGGTACCAACATATTTAATTTGCATTTGAGAAAAGCTTAATCTTCGATACGTTTGCCATACGGGGCATCAGTGTTTCACAAACACATCTTGTTGAAGTTTCGTGATATATGCTAGTCTTCGTTACACAATGCCGAATTTTTGGTAGTTTATATTACAAGCATCGATATTAAGGCTAAAATTATGTCTCATAATTCCATCATCTCAAGGCACGAACTTTAATATCCATTCTATTTTCATGTGAAAATAGAATGGACACATACTCTTGGTTTGCGATTATCTACGGAGTATTTTAATACAATATCAATTGTTAGAAAAAACAGGATATGTCATCTATAATTGCAATAAACGCCGGAATACATATAGATGTCTTCGATCTTAGTAACGCACATTCTATAACACCATATTCCTTTATGAGAAATATATCCTCGTGTATTGAAACAATTTACAAGTAAGGATTTGTTTTTTATGAGAAGTGACAATTCATTTTATGAATAAAGTGCATGATGCTATTAAGAAAGCTTCTCACATCATTCCTGGAATATTCTTAATAATATGTGGAATGTTCTGAACAGGACGGAACAATACAAGATAATAGTATCGGAATATCGCATTATCACTAGAGAGTTCTCGCGTAGCTTGTTCAGGAGTGACTGCAGACCTCTTGTCTCTAGCTATTATTATAAAAAGTGAGTAACCCCCTGGTCTTGACAGTATTGTTGCCAGGAAATGACTTTTTTATACTAAAACTGACACTCTGAGACTCGAATTGACGCTGAGTTGCTACCGATATTTCCAAGTGGCACTGGAAATCGTGTTGCATTTAAATTCTGCTCTTAAAATCAAAGGCCTGAAGGGCCATATTGGCTTACGTGCTTGACATGGATGTAAAATGTAAGGAAATGTAGTATACTAGAATATTACTTTTTTTTAAGAAAAAAAAGGTAAATATATAGTGTTTTCCCCAGAAATTTCTTAATGCAAGGGTGTCATCTTGAAACTTTTTGTTCTTAATATGTAACACCAATGTAATGCTTACTGCATTATTGGGGTCGCTGAATTGACGGCCTGAGGCGTTTCTTGGCAGTTGAGTTTATTTTATCTAAATTCATATTTAAATGAAAAATACAAATTCACTAATAAATTCTTCTTTTTTTTAAGAAAAAAAAGGTAAATATATATTTTGAACAAATTGTCATTTTTAATTAAAATATTCAACAATAGAGTTTTTTTATATAAAGAGATCTAATCACGAAAAATTGTTCTATTAAAATTTTCTATAAAGCCACTGTCTTTTTACTGTTTTATGTATTGTGCTATTTTTGCTATCTACAATTAAATAGGCCCCTAATGACCCTCCCTTATTTTTTTTTTTATGTATCTACTCTTGCAGTCATCTTGAAACTTTTTGTTCTTAATATGTAGCACCAATGTAATGCTTACTGCATGTAGATATTGTCACTTGGAGCGCTTCTGAATATATAGATATTTTTTCTCCGTATGTTTATATAATATAGAGATACCACAAATGTATATATATGAAAATAACAAGGTTTTTGATTAAGAACTTGGTGAGTAATTTTCACAATAAAGGTAGAATAGAATTAAAGAAAAGACGAGGACTATTTTATCTTGCTCAGTGAACTCTTTGCCGTAAAGATACACCGGGAGCTATATGGCTTCGTAAGCCATAAAAAAATGAAAACCTTATTTAAGATACTATAAAATTTCTTTAATAACAATACTATAACAATTTTACAGAAGATGCTTTCGAGATTCTGGATGCATAATGGAAAAGGGGGAGATTTCCCGAGACTTGTATGGTCTTTTGATCAGACGTATGCTCAAATCACATTTTTGCTTCCTTTAGAAAATTCAAGTCGTTCTAACCTTCTTGCTGCCTTTTAGTCACTATAGTCTAGCAAAGGCGTTGGAGAGGATATGGTAACGCGTGCAATAATGTGAGACAGTGAGGGTGTTACTTAGTTTGTGCTTTTTGAAACGGAAGTGACGTTTATTTGCATCGGGACTGATCTCTGATATACAGACATGCTCTTTGAGAGGGGATGCTTCACTATGTAGTGCCTCTATTGTTTGAAATGTTTATGAATTTTAGGTATAAAGTAACGAGTTAAGTGTCTTACATCTATTCTTAGATTTATTAGTGTTCTTCCTCGCTGACAAATTTATCCCTTAAAAATAGTATGAAATCTGAAGGCTATACTTTATGTCTTTGATTTTCATATCTTTCTTTGATTAATTACAAAATCAAAATACGATAAGGTTGTCTCGTAGATAACGAATCCTGCTGCATGGCGTCTTCTTTAATCAGTATGCATAAATCGATTCTTTAGGGTATTGTTTGAATCTCAGGGGGAAAAAAGTTTATGGAAATGAACGATACGTGTGAATTGTTTTCATAACACCCAGTTCAATATCAAAAGGAAAAGGAAGTGAGAGAAGTGTTATCTTACGTCATTTGCCGTTTTCGACTGGTAATTTTCTTAAAAAGACATTAGCAATTCTGTTTAAACCAGCAATCTCATATCCAGTTCAAATTCCTCCCTTTATAAAGTCAATTTGACTAATAAAGTGCTAAGCGATATACCGTATTTAAGGCTTTCCTCGTATCCATTCATAGAGAGCTGACCATAGTATGATCATTTATTCGATATCGAGGCATGCTTCGTTTTATAGAAAATATCAGTCGAACAGGCTAATTGACATGGATTACATTATCTTAAATAATGACTTGCTTAGTGAAAATAAAAAACCTTTTAAGATAAACATGTCAAATAAAATGTGCCTTGCAACGAATCTGTGGATAAATTGTGGATTGTTCAATATCACTTTCATCCTTAGAATTAAGAATTTTGTGAAAGGAGGATCGATTTAACTAACGGTAATAATCGCACCAGCATTGTCCAGTGGTTCGAGCGAATCCAATCTTCAAGGCATCGAATCCCTCAGCGATGCCGCCGTACAGTGAGATAGGTCCTTAGCATAGAACCATAAAACTGAGGTCCCGTGTCATAGTACATGTGTAGCGGCAATGATGGAAAACACAGTTGTAACAATAATCATAATTGTGGAGTTCAGGACTAAACTTGGAGTCTTCCGTCGGCAAAGGGTGTTTGCATTTATCGTCTTTAGAAAGTTCAAACAATAAACGTCAAATCCGATGTTAGAAAATACGTGGTTCAAAAGATGTATATCTCTATCTGTAAATAACCGATTATTTTACGCTAATATCAGAGACTACTTAATTTGAATATTACAATGACGATCTTTCTTGGTGTAAGATATTCATTCAATTGATTACCGGTGATTCTCCGGAATTATTTAGTGCAAGATCCATATCATTCCAGGGATATAAAAATTGATTTAATAATGGTATAAGTCATGAAGTAAAGAAAGCCTAATACTGAATAAACAATTATATCGGTCAATGGGTGCTCCAGTGAATAGTGTTCATCATGCACGTGGAATATAGTGTGTGTAACGCACCTTAAAGTTTCCTCCTGGGTACAGTCTGTTGGTTAGAAACATAACATGGACGATAACATAAGTGTCAAAGAACGATAACAAGCCAATAAAATAGAGAACATTAAATACATTAAATAGATGTTTGGATTATGGAGCCCTTGGCGGATTTACGGATATAGGTCAACATGGCTACTTACCGACGAGGTAGATGACGATGCTGTGTCCGACTGCTCCACTGGATCTTGGTCACCTACTGCAAAAATTTAAAAAAACAAATCATGAAAAAAAAAGAATTAAAGTGATATAGCAAGAATGTTTAAAACATGTCATTTCTATCAAAAATACCCTGGTATATCTAGATATCAATAAAGCGACCAGGGATATTCATTCGAACACATTTCCCGAATTAAAATTAAAAAAAAACAGAAATAAATAAGACTGGCAATACTCGATTCATCTCACCTTTCTTAAATTTTAAATTCGAGAGAAACCAAATTTTGATTTCTTCGAATATCATATAGTACGCGGCTTTGTTTTTAAAACGTTTTTTTTTTCAATGATAACTTTTCTAATCTTACTTTTCGTGACATTCTAGATATATTTTAGATATTGCAATGAGCTGGTGGAAAAGACAGAAAATCTAGGAATAATTGCAATTACTATTCATATATGCATGTTCATCGATCAGTTAGGGCTTCTGTCTTTCAAAAGTCCATTGTAAGAAATCGTTACGCTCTTGAAGCATGGCATATTTACAGATTATACTGCAAATGTCCCATAATTGCCCGGAAATTTTCCTCTTTCTCGATTTATGGTAAAGATTTTACATCTATATGGTGAGAAAAATGATCATTATCTGTTATTAATGTCGTAACATCGCCGATTACCAGTATCTAGAACGCTGTGGCATATTCTCCTTCGATGCAGTGTGCGATTTCTTTTGAAATATTAAACCTAAATAGTATTCCATTATCAAATTACTTATTTGCAAGAAGGTTCTTTAAAATAAAGAATTTTATCACAAAGTTTAAAATTTTTAACTGAAGCCTTTCGATTTCAAACAAATGTAACATCTTTGGATTCTTTGCACAAAAAAATTAAACCGTTCGAACAAGTTCATGATAAACTCCAGAGAATTGAACGAGAAGTAGAAATGATACCCCAATGAATGAACAAAATCCGTGATCAATATCCACGAACAAGTAATTCATGAATTATTTAGAGATATTGTCTTCATCAGATGATGTTTATTGATCGGTGATTTTAGCCATGTTCAATTTAACATCAAATGCAATGAAACTCGTTTTGCGTTAATTTTTACAGGTAAAAAAGAGCATAAAGAGAAACCATTCGTTTTTCAGTAATTACGCTAAGACCATTTTGGTGTTAGATTTTTCTACATGCAAAAGAAACATCCAAACTTCAGTACCAGTCTATTACGCGGTGTGTTACAGGCCAGGTGTTACACTAACTATTCGATGTAACCTCTTGATCCTGTGAGGTATATAGCGTTACTTTGTTAACATTTCTAGATACAGTATCTGAAGTCCTCGCACGATACCAAGAATTTAAAATGCCTTTGTCGAACACTTTATATAGTATTAAGTGATACTATCCGCTAGAAAGTATGATAATATATATATATATATATACTACAACAGACAAATTTAATGTGATATAAATCAGAATTTATCAAAAGCAGTAAATTTAATTGGACATTACGGTATCATTTTTTGTACGACCAACAACCAAAATACGGCAGAGAATCTCATGGTCAAAAACTCATACCTCAAAAATATACAGAAGAGGCAATTATTTTTTAAAGAAAACTCTGAATTGTACTCACCAATAAACGAGTAGATGACGCTGATGACTACAGCCACAAACAACGTCACCCCAATAGTTATAAAAATGATGTTCAGAACTTTCTTTAAGACCCGGTATTGGTTTGGATCATTTAGAAGTTCTTCAGGATCTAAGTCTTTCATGCGATTGTCCTGTAAACATAGATAAATCCTTTTCCAAATACTTTTGGTTTTTTTCGGAGAATGTATTGTCATATTCGAATTGTCAGGATCAGACACACAAATTTCAATGTCTCGTCCGTCCATAGTAACGGAGGAAGCGTCCATCGCCATTTCACGACGATTGCCTCTGGACCTATCAGCAAGGCGACCGATCTGCGGCTCATCGGCAAAAGCACCATCTGAACCTTCAGCCATTCGCATCTGTGGATTATCAACACCGCGTTTGGTCCCCGATGATTTTGGCAAATTTGCACTAGTACTGTCTGGGGTATCTAAGACTATGAATCGATTATGAACATATCTCACATTATTATTCAAAAAATTCCGTTGCGGGGAAACCGGACTGACTCTTTTAGGAGACCCTGTTCCGTTCCTTCTGTCATCGGTTTTAGCTTTGGTCCTTAGTGTTCTTTCGTCATCTGGATAATCACCCCTTTCTCTCCGTCGTCTTGTTTTATGATCGTCACGCTGATGTTCGCGCGCCTTTTTATCCGCCACAGCAGACGACAGTTCTATACCGTTGTCACCTTCCTGTGGCACTGGGCGCGTTCGGCCTACATTCTGCTTCGTATTCATATCTAAGTCATCTACGTAATTGCTTCTCTCTGCCTGGGACTCGATAATCACAAACTCTTCAGCTTCTGCCAAAGCGATTTCATTGAAAGTGGAATCCTTGTTTTTATGCACCTATAAAAAAAATCAAAAACAATACCATCTAATGAACAAAGTACCATCACCTGGGGTTCAGTCCTACCGACTGCAAAATCTATACATGAGCTTAGACAATGCACGAGGAAAATTGACAGGCTTATAAATGCGTAATTGAAGAAAATACTTCGACAACACAGCTCATCCGGGAAATCTTTTTCAAAAATCAAATAAATTTCCTGCATCCTTTCAAGACTACTTTAAGAGTTCGTTTCGTGTAAATAACTTTTTTCCCCATAACTGAATTCTCCTGGGCAAGGGAATTGTCGTACAATAGAGTACACAAGTCATTTTTCTTTCAATAGTAGATCTAACATCCTTCGAAATTTTAACATCTGAAAACATTCACCCCTTTTTCTCTCTGTCTCTCTTTTTAGCATTAAACGAAATGCTACTTTTATTCCCTTTTCTACAAATATAACTTGAATTTTTTTTACACAGAAAAAAACAAAAACAAATTTGCCTTGTCATACCTGTGTAAAGAAATCCCTCTATCTACATTTTGCACAACGAAAAACAGCCTCTTTCATGACAGCACAGCAGCTGTTACATAGTTTATGTGTGTAGCTTTAATTAGCGGAGAAATGTCATTTTTACTTGGACTACCGCGTCAATACAAAGCCCACAATCAGCGGATACACTGTAACAGCTACCGTCATCCCCTCTCACACATTTCTTTGATCCTTAGTTGTTAAGATGGCAATTTTCTAGTACGCCATAGATATTTTTCCCATTCGTGAGACAGGCATATTATACTGTATATGGAGGTCTTAGATTATAACAACCCTTCTCAATCTAATGTAACTTTATAGTCGTTTGTTGATGCGGTAATAAACGACGGGTCACTCACTGGTCAACAAACAATAACAACATAATGTAACAACCTTGTCATAATTATATCATGCAACGGCAGCAGGTCATTGAATGCAGCTAAAATTTCTATTTGAAATATGAAAAAAAGAGTGTCATTTTTTTCAATGCAACGGATTGATGTGATTCCACCAACTTCGAATTTGTCTTCAAAGTCTAAGGTCGTGAGGAGGGTGCGTTCGATTCAGATTCTTTGAAGTGAGGCCCTTTCGTGGCATTGCTTGTGTTCCTAACTTAAGACCCAAAGCACTAACATAAATCTCAGAAGATTCAATATAAATGAAAGGTCAGAAATAAATCTAAATTAAATATACACGTATACATCGTAAACATTATAAATATTTAAATTTACTTGGGAGAGTTCGAATAGAAAATATATACGCGGTATATTTTTAGAAATGACATATAACTCAGTTGAAAGTTAAACAAAATATTGACCCAGAGCTTTTGAGCTAGTTATAAATAAGATTTAGGAGTGAACATTGCCAAAATAAGTTTTCATTTGTTTATCTCTCTATAACCTCTTCTAGCGAAGATTTAATTGGCCAATAGCGTTTTCCTTTCATGTAGAACTGCGCCATTTTGTTACATCTGAACTAAAGTAAGAATAGGGTTTCTCTCAACAACAAACTCATCCTTTTCACGTTGTAAATATTTTATAGCTCAGAGTGGTAATTTTATCGATTTCTATCACTCCGCTTCATTTGGCAATTATATTTTATTTCGAGATCAATGTTCTGCTATCTCACTATTCATCTGGGTGTCGAGCCCGTCGTCATTGTCATTCTTCTCCGATGTCCAGCGATCATATGTCAACGATATCATACGTTACAACAAGCTTATATCTAATGACTCCCACCATATTTGATTTCTGGTGACGTTTTCAAAGCGCGTTTCTGACAAACCCGTGTAGGATCTGGTTGTCAATGCACAAGGCAACCTGATAAATCAATCGTGCTTTAATCCAGTGCAGCAAAAATTGGGATCAGTTAAAATCATGGGGATTAAATGTGATATATTTCAATCCTGTCGCCCGGTTCTCCTATAGATGGATTTGATCTCGCAGCGACTAATGATGACGTTCTATTCGTTCATTAGTGACACTTTGCGGCCTGTGAGAAAAGCACAAGTCTTTGCAACAGAGCAGATTTATGTCTTTCCGTTCTAGATAATTTATCTAACGATCGATAAATGCTGCAATTTTTTTCTCAATATTAAAAATACACTAAACTTTGAAAATTAAGGGGAAATTGTTAGGATTGGAAAGGTGGCATTGATTTCCATATATGCGATATTCAAAACTATCAAAATTGTATTAGTTCTGTAATATGTGAGGACATTGGTTAATTATGAAGCAACAATTATTGCTCAGAGATTCAATGCTGCTTTGATGTTACAACAATGAACATCTGATATTTCCAAACCATCAGAAATTCATATCGTCCTACCAAGTTTTTCAATAACGTCCGAGCATGCTATGATTTGACCCCTTGACCTTCAGGATTGACCTTATTTTAAAAAAAATCAACATCGGTGATAATTTATAAATTACATATGATAGGGCGTTCATATCTAACACAATATGTCAAAAATAATGACATTTCACCCACAAAGACATGGAAAGAGGGGGATCACAATTCTTTGAATTTGCTTATTTACCGTAATTTTAATTCGAGTCGAAATAGCGGGGGAGGGGTTTGTTATTTACACTGTTAATATTAATTTCTCCGAAGTTCGTGACATTTATTTTTTTCTATTGCAATTTTCCAATTACCAAATAGCAGTATGACGCTACTGTTAAAGAAAATTGTTTCCACTTCATGCAAGGATTTTTTTTTTGGTTTATAAAAGAACTCGCGTTGGTATTATTGAAAAATTATGAATATGCATATCTCCAAAGTTTATGACATTTCTGCAAGTTTTCCAGCAAGGTATTAAAGTTTAGGCGAATGGCTTTCTAGCTCTGTATAAAGGTGCTGTTTTTCTTCAAGGAGTTTCGATCACAGATATTTTTAACCTCACTAAAGTCAAGAAAGTGGGTAAGTGGAGGAATTTAGCACTAACAATGCACTATACTGCTGCACTTCTGAAATCTTATTAAGTTCCCTTCTATTGTAGTATTATCTCAAATTACTTCCTCCAAAGATTTTTGTAGTAAAAATTCATGATAAATTTCATATTAGTTATTTTTATTAATATTTGCTGCAAAGTAACCGCAGTGTAGGCGATTAATTTTGGTTCTCACATTTATTAAAAAGAAAATATACTCTTAATGTGAAATGCTATTGGAAATGGAAATGTCAGATCTAACAAATCTTAGAAATAAAGATTTTTGACTATTACAGCATACCGAGAGAATCATACAAGATTGGATTGCAACTTCAAGATGTTTTTCATTCTTTTACCATCGAGTAGCAAAAAAACAATGCCGCTAATATTATACATCATGATCATGATGTTATCAAATACTTTTGAGATTGGAGCTGATCGATGTAAAAACTGCCATCTAATATTGTAAGCTATATATTATTGATATCAAACCGATATCACAATTTCCTGGCATTTGGCTTTTTAGGAATAAGCTATAGCTTGTACTTAGACAAATATTAAGAATGTCTCCTGACATTCTTGCGACTCCAAATACCCACGCTATTTCAAGCTTACGTCATTTAAATAACTCGAGACTAATATTTTGGTGCTTTTTCATAATCAATTTCAAGTACTTTACGGCTTTAGCTAGAAAATGTATTTACATTTCATTCAATTTGAAATCATATGAAAAGTAAACTGGATACCTATATTAGATTTGATATTGATTTAAAGAAGAGGCCATGAACATACTAAATACCTTTTTCTGAGAGACTGTAGGCAATCTGGATACATTTCCTTTGCTGAATACGAAAAAAACTCCCATATTCATGACTGGTTTTCTTAATTTTTCATTGAAAATAACAGTTCAAAATACAGTTTTTCATCTTGTTTATCTACAAATTATGCCCCGAAACACCTTATTTGACCAAGCTAAAGTTGTAAGGCATCAATAAAGGAATTTATTTCTCAAGTTTGATAAATCTGTAGGCACCTTTCATTTACTAGATCTTGACCTTAAACAAATTACAAAACTCATCAAAAAAAATTTATTATGGATCTGTAAGTATAAGACAGAATCTCACTCCAAGAAAATATAATAATAAATTAAAAATTGGTCCAGTACTGACCTACATGCAACATTATACTTGTATATAAAATATAATAATAATGAAGAAATGGATCCCACCTCTAATGTTTCAGAAGTCCCGATTTGAATTGGACCTTACTTGAGGGCCTGTTCGTTTATCTCCACATTAACCAAACTCAAAATACTCACATCTTCATCAGTATGCTCGTGTTTCTCCATGCCTTTATATGATTAACAAGTCCACAATATACAGTAAGTTATTTTGAGCAGACTATCGTTTGAAACATTTAAATGTCTATTTCGAAGGAATTTCCGTCTCAAATTTTCCTTTGTAGTGAAATGTTTCGAAATCCACTAAACTGTACATAAAATATCAAATTAATCCAGAAATGTATATTTATATACGAAGCCTAAGATCATACACATAAAAAAATTAACCTTGAAGGTAGTAAATACATTAATAAAGAATTTATAGTTTATGCTATGTATTCTATATTTATGGAAACATGTTACACAAATAAATCTAAGTTGTATAGTCCAGTGTATCTTCTTAATTAAAAACAAACATAAAGCATAAAAAAATAATAACCATAATAAGTACTTACTCTTCTTGCTCTTTTCTACCGTGTTTGTTTTTCTTTTTTCGTTTTAAACCCAGTGATCCGTAATGAGTAACCCCAATACCTATAAAACACCCTGCTTTTAACAAAATACTGTCCTTTGAATAATCTTGTCCTCAAAATAACACGGCATTTAAATTTAAACGTGTCTGTGAACTCTGGAGCTGGCCATGGGAAAACATTTTTACTTGAATATTCCGGAGGAAAAGACGTTGGTGGTGTTAATAGGCGTTTTCTATTTTTATATTCTGAACATCTATATGTGAAAAATATTGGACTCTGTAAAAAATAAGTTATAAAAGATAATTTTGTCATTGTCTGTATAACAAAGCTTTTGATAAACTCAGATTCTGAATATGAATTCCATGGTTTTCTGTGTTTGATTCTCGACAACTTCCAGCATTTCTGAAAAAATGGTACATTTATGCCAGTGTTTACCAACTCAGTTTTATCTAAACTATCAATATAATTAGTATATTAAATATACCGATATTAATAGGAAGAAGTCATCTCTGCATATACGGTTTAACTTCCAAATATTTGGAGAAAATTAGAAGACATTTATATTTAAAAATAAAAAACAAATTATTTTGGGAAAAAAGATATCTTGATTATTGTGCCGTTGAGGCATTCCATACATAATTTTGATATCTACATGATCCCCTTAATTTTTGGCATGCTGTAACCTACAGCTTATGATCATGTATGTATCCTCGACATCTTATAAACATGCATGTATCCTCGACATCTTAGAATAAACATGCATGTATCCTCGACATCTTAGAATAAACATGTATGTATCCTCGACATCTTAGAATAAACATGTATGTATCCTCGACATCTTAGAATAAACATGTATGTATCCTCGACATCTTAGAATAAACATGTATGTATCATCCACATTTTAGAATAAACATGCACGTATCCTCGACATCTTAGAATAAACATGTATGTATCCTCGACATCTTAGAATAAACATGTATGTATCCATGACATCTTAGAATAAACATGTATGTATCATCGACATCTTAGAATAAACATGTATGTATCATCGACATCTTAGAATAAACATGTATATATCATCGACATCTTAGAATATACATGTATGTATCCTTGACATTTTAGAATAAACATCTTTGTATCCTCGACATCTTAGAATAAACATGCATGTATCCTTGACATCTTAGAATAAACATGTATGTATCATCGACATTTTAGAATAAACATGTATGTATCCTCGACATCTTAGAATAAACATGTATATATCATCGACATCTTAGAATAAACATGTATGTATCATCGACATTTTTGAATAAACATGTATGTATCCTCGACATTTTAGAATAAACATGCATGTATCCTCGACATCTTAGAATAAAAATGTATGTATCATCCACATTTTAGAATAAAGATGTATGTATCCTCAACATCTTGGAAAAAACATTTATGTATCATTGACATTTTAGAATAAACATGTATGTATCATCGACATTTTAGAATAAACATGTATGTATCCTCGACATCTTAGAATAAACATGTATGCATCATCGACATCTTAGAAAAAAACATGTATGTATCATCGACATTTTAGAATAAACATGTATGTATCCTCGACATTTTAGAATAAACATGCATGTTTCCTCGACATCTTAGAATAAACATATATGAATCATCGACATTTTAGAATAAACATGCATGTATCATCCACATTTTAGAATAAACATGTATGTATCCTCAACATTTTAGAATAAACATGTATGTATCCTCGACATTTTAGAATAAACATGCATGTATCCTCGACATCTTAGAATAAACATGTATGTATCATCCACATTTTAGAATAAACATGTATGAATCCTCAACATCTTGGAAAAAACATTTATGTATCATCGACATTTTAGAATAAACATGTATGTATCATCGACATTTTAGAATAAACATGTATGTATCCTCGACATCTTAGAATAAAAATGTATGTATCATCGACATTTTAGAAAAAACATGTATGTATCATCCACATTTTAGAATAAACATGTATGAATCCTCAACATCTTGGAAAAAACATTTATGTATCATCGACATTTTAGAATAAACATGTATGTATCATCGACATTTTAGAATAAACATGTATGTATCATCGACATTTTAGAATAAACATGTATGTATCATCGACATTTTAGAAAAAAAACATGTATGTATCCTCAACATCTTAGGATAAACATGACTGTAACCTGGACATTTATAAACATATATGTATATTCAACATCTTGAATAAACATGTTTGTCCTGGACATGTCATAAACATGTATGTATCCATTCCTCAACATCTTATAAACGTGTATGTATCCTCGACATCTACAATAAACATATATATTTGTCCTCCTGCACTTTGTTTGATTCGAAGATTTCACAAAATCTCAGTTCCAATAAAAATGGCACCCATTTTAAAAATCTTTCTTATCTTTACCAGATTTGCCCCCAAATTTCGTGAATTGTACATTTAAAGTAATACTGGTACACAAATCTTGCTGATGAAATTATCATTCACATAAACATATATAATTTTGAATAACAAATTTCAGTAAATAGTTCCAAAAATTATATTATTAGATACTTTTTGGAAAAAATATATCAAGAGTAGAATGCAAGATTTATTTTCAATTGGCAACGTAAGGGTACTTTTACGTTCTCAATCTAATCCCAATTTTACTTTAACATTTTTCTTTGACATTATTGCAAGCATGAAAGAAATTAAAAGATAAACCCAAAGAAATTGGTAAAATAAAACATAAGTTGACTATGTTCTGAGGTAAGGTGCCCTTTGTTGACTCCTCGTACCAAACTCTTTGGTTTCATTCTTGCAAGATTCCAACAAAAGACTTATTGCACTCTATTCCGCCGTCAATAAGTGTGTTTGATGTCGAAAGCTTTGCCAAATTAATATTTGATATGTTTGAAAATGATAAGCAAATGACACTCTTTTTAACAAAATGGCATTTGCATATCATATTCAAACATATCTGATGTTTAGTTGGCAACCTGGTAAAAATCTGGTAAATCTGAGATATTATGAACAAGAGCTGTCGAGGCTCTTGGACATTGACGATTAACTGAGTATTGTAAATAATAAAATAAGCCCTAATTGGAACTGGTATTCCGGTCTCATTTGATTTTACAATTTGTTTAGGACTCTGTGTTTACTATTATATTAGTATGATGTCTGCATGGGAATACCCAAAGTTAATGGTACACTGCATTAGCAATTTTCAATAAAGTAAGTCTCGCCTAGAGCCTGAATTTTTGGTCCAGGATCATGAATAGAAATCCTGGTTAGACATGTACATGTATATGCTCATAATTTAATCGTGCAAAATGTTTGTCTGCAAATTTTCTGCATATTTAATAAGAATGTCAAAGGCAGACAGAGACCCAAATAGATTGGGCCCATGGACCACAACACTGACCTGAGTAACTAATGCCCCTTCTTGTTCTTCATCAGCAGATTCTTTTTCCTATATATTAATTCCTATGCCAAACTTGATCACCCATTGTAATACCATCCTTTCCCTGGGTGTCTTGATTTAAGGGGCTCTCTACGCACAACGTCATCACATGGCGCAATTCCATTCGAAATGCCATTTTGATCCGAAATGATCCGATTATGTCCTAGACAAATTCACTCAACACCGATAAGTCATTATACATGTACTACTAACACAACATGCTTAAAATTAAATATGCCTTTGCTCTACCTAAGGAAAAAGATTTTTAGAGATTTGATTTAATATATTCATAAGTATAATTTTAATCACCCATAGCTCTAGAGTCGCGAAGTAAGGAGCTGATCATTGCTTCGCGGGTTCGAATCCACTGTGGGACCTTGAGACTGGTCCTTCGGACGAGACCGTAAAACCAAGGTCCAATGTCGCAGTAGGTGCTGGCACAAAAAAGATCCCTCACTTTTCAGTGCCGAGTATAGAACAAAATTTGTAGCTCTCCGCTGGCAAGTGTAAGCGTCTCCATACGACTGAAAAATTCTCGAGAGGGACGTAAAACAACACACAATCAATCCTATATATTGCTGTGTAAAACTTCGATTACCCATAGTGACCCCATCCTACCCCTTGGGGTCATGATTTGAACAAATCTGGACATACACATATGTGAATGCTTACATATGACTTTATTGTTCTTCAGAACAGTAACAGGAAAGAGGCAATGTATGGCAGGACCGGGAATCGAACGCGTAACCCCTGCATAACTAGTCAGGTGTGCACTACCGACTGAGCTGCCTAGGCCGATATCCACGACCCAAACCATTACATTAAATTGTTTTCGCCTCGAAGACACAACCCAAGCTCTCATTAGCTCCTGGCAGGACTTTCACCTGCAAGTCCAGGGGTGATTAGAGGCACCAAATTTGTAATAGGAAAGGAGTATTCAGGTGTTTTACCGAGTGAGCTACCTAGGCCGATATGGCCCAAACCATTACAGATTATATTCCATTGTAAAACTTCGATGCAAAAAGTGGATCCAGCCTTCCCCCGGGGTCAGAATTTGAACAAAGATTCTTTGAATCAACACTACATGTATCCCATTGATGTTATCGAGATCTAGAAAGATTTCTCCTCTACAAGTATTAAACAATCATGCAAAACTTTTGATTGCCCACAGTGGTTCCAGCTGTCCCACCTTACCCAATAGAGGGTCATTATTTCAACAAAACTGAATCTACACTATGTCAGGAAGCTTTCATGCTTTTTTCCTGGCCCTTCGCTAGCCAAAGGTTTTTCATACGCTTCTCTCCTTATAAACTATGAGGAGAGTAGCGTTTCAGAAACCCTTGGCTAGCGAATATGGTTGTTTTTTTTAGAGGGAGTTTATATAATCCCACCAAATTTTACTTTTTCTTATTATTCTCCCCCTGTATTTCAGTTTAATACCTTTAAGTCTAGGATATCTTCCATCCAGTTTAGTTGAAATTGTCTGTTTACCGAAGAAAAATACAGTCATTTGACCAGTTCCGAATAAGAAACCGATTCGGCGGTGCTATAAATATACTAGTCATTATTTCAAAATCCAAGTGTTTTGTCAAGGTAGTTCGATGACTTGTGGAATTAAATATCTTTTTATAAAAGTTCAGCATTCCCTCCAAAAAAATTATTTCGCAAGTTACCATAGGTGTCCATTTTACCAGTTACGAATAAGCCGACGAGTTCCGGATACCCTAGAGATTCTTATTCAATTCAACCCTAAATTAAAAAATATACGTCCCAGACGTTATCCATTGGCATGCCTAAGAAAAGTTAAATTAATTGCTTACCAATAAATTATTCGTATTTCCAAAGGTTGAAGAGAAACAAGAGGTACTGTGGGCACTGAGCTCATTTAATGATACCCCACACCTCCTTTACGATTATTTATGACAAAGTCCATGTTTTGCTCTGGGAGACCCGAAATAGGTGTCAGATCAAAAGGTAAAATAAAAGGTCACAATGTCACAATGTAATAAAGAATCTGTGAAAGTATCATTAAATCTTATTCAGTGGTATAGGAGGAATTGCGGATAAGAGATGGATATACCTTTCAATATTACAAAGAATGGCAGTATCTATGTTTTTCTCAGGGAGCCCAAATTATGTGCCAGATCTAAAAATAAAATAGGTGCACTTTGTCAATGTTAAACAAAGATTCTGTGAACGACTCATTAAATTCTGTGAAGCCTCATTAAACTTCATTCAGTGGCAGAAGAGGGGTTGCGGATAAGAAACGGATACCCCAGGGCGTATCAGACGGACGGACGTACAGAAAGACGGACGGACGGACGGACGAATGAATGGACAAACATCCCATTACTATATACCCCTTCTTCCTGTTTTACAAGCGGGGGTATAATAAGTCACCTTTACAATGAAGAAAACAACGAAGAGTGAATTTATAATAGTGTTTAAAAATGGGTATTCGGAACTGGTAAAATAAGAGCACGAAAATATTTCGATATCTTCCAGTGTTCTAAATATTTATTTTTAACAAATTTTTAGTATATGTTAGAGTACATATCAAACTTACTTTTGATACTTGGAACGTTGTTTTATGTGACAAATTTATGTATCTACAGAGGTTTTTCTGCAGACTTACGCGTCGCCGTGATTCAGATTTGTTGCATTGTAAAAGTATGTCAACTGTTTCAAGTAGGATAATGAAACCAAACTGACGGCAAAAAATCAAAACTTCACATAATTCAAACACTCATAAATAAGCCTTCTTACCATAGATAACAATTTATTTTTACACCGTTGAATTTATTAATTATCAGTCCTTAAATTACTAATTATTCGGAACTGGCCAAAATCCGGAACTGGCCAATCGACTGTAGCTAAAATTTTAATTTGATAATCACAACAATCATCGACAACAGACAAATTTTGATCAGAAAAGCTCACTTTAACCCTTGGCTTAGGTGAGCTAATAACTTTAGTAGAATGCCCAGTCAATTTTCCTGCTAGAAGTACACTTCTTGCATTCATAGATCACTCCTGACCCCTCTGCACTCTCTGTTTTATTTTAACCAATCCTTTACCCTGTCATGTAAAACTCACTATACTCTCTCTACCTGCTGGTCCTGCTCCTTTTTTTTTACCATACAATCAATAAAGAAAGAATGAAATCTGATTTTTCTTTTTAATAAAAACAATTAACAATACCTTATTGCTAAAAAAAACATTGTCAATGATTTCCATACTTTAAAGTGGTCAACACTGTCAGTTGTCAAAATACTATTTTAAAACAAATAGAAAAATATTGTCACCAGGCTACAACTACATAGATGTTTAGCCAGTTTAACAGAATTTAAAAAAAATATACAAAATCCAATAGCAGTGGCATGATTAGTAAAAGAAAAATTAGCTGCTCAAAAAAAAGTAACCTTTAAATACCAATAATACAAAAAATACATGTACGGTGTAATTAAATAAGGGAATATTATGTTTATTATTATTTTTTTTGCTGGTAATTTAATTGGCAGCTATGACTTAAAATTTCGAGTTTTATTTTAAATATTTTTTTCTTTAAAAAAGTTTTTTAAAAAAGTTTTCCATATTTTTATTCACAGAAAAAAATTTAAGTTACTCTATTATGGTACATTTACACATTGTGTTCAACATCGTTGTAAACATCTATAAATATCAAGACTGACACTTATTCTGTACAAGAATAAATACAAACAAGAAATGGGAACCTAATACCCTGGTCAATACACATTTGGATTTATATACAGCATATTTTGCTTCTTTTTCCTTGAATGGTTACAGTTATGCCTCAAACATAATACTGTAGAATCATTTTTATTCGTGGGGGTCAATGTTCGTGGGTAGCCAAAAATTGTCTGATTCGTGTGGACGTATTTTCGTTGATAACAAATTTTATTTCGTAAATTAACTTTGAATGCATAATAAAACAAATGTTTGTATATACATTCGTGGGGATGTAAATTCATGGGTCTGGGTTACCCACGAAAGCCATGAACATTGGTCCCCCACGAACAATAATGATTCCACAGTATCAGAAATAAGAGTGATCTCCATTATTACAAATTTGGAGTTAATTCTCAATTTATGATGCCTTTGAATACCTTAAAATATATCGATTGACAATTCTATAATTTGTAAATGTCACCAGATATTCATTTATGATGTAGGCCATTCAAAAGCTCTTCAAAAGATGCTGTTCAAAATTCTAAAAATTGTAAATTTTACCTCATTTATACCCTGAAAAATATTGTAAAAATAGATATTTTAACAGAATCAAGTATACAAGCAAGTTATTTTGAATCGTAGAATGCACTGAAGCTTCAACACTCCTAGTATTGTGTCATATTATTGATTTAAAATTGTTGTTCGTGTGTCTTAATTATCACAGACATGGAGATCTACTACGCACTTAAAAAACAGCACTTTTCACAAGCTAATCAACTAATTTCACTCTCATGACTTTTAATACAATGTACCGGTATATAAATGATAAAAATGCAAGCTCGTGTACATCCCAAATTAAATGATATTCACAATGAAACTTTTGCATCAACATATATTCTATTCTTATCAAAATCAAGATTTACTTTAGCATACAAAAACAAACAAACAAACAAACAAGCACACAAAGAAGAGATTCACAAAATCCCAACTTCAGTCACACCGAGTTATAATTCATACATAAAACAAAAATTTATGCATGAACAAGAATCCATAAATATTGAGACTGGATTTCTCTGTGAGGGGTTTAGGAAAGCTCATTATGCTTCATTTTACCAATACATAATGTAGCACTTTCACTAAACAAAAATACTAGTTATTTGTTTTCATTTAATCTTTTTTTTTCTTCATTTTTCTTTTATTTATTTTTTTTTTTTTTTTTTAATTTTCCACTTTTTTAGAGATATGTTATTTTTCCTATTCCCTTTAAAAAATTTTTTTTTTACTAATTCTTTTTTTTTTATTATTTATTTATTATTATTTTTTTTTTTTGTATTTTTTTTTCATGCATCTTTTTAAAATAATTTTTTTGTAATTTTTTTTGGGGGGGATAAATATATTTAAAAAAATTAATTTTGGCAATACACTGAACACAAAAAAAGGCCCAGATATCCTTTACGATATAAAATTGTCCCCCTTACCCAGCATTCATACATACTCAAAACTTAAGTGAACTCTTGAAAAGGGACTAGATTTTTCATCTCTAAGAAATAGAGAGATATAAACTCAAGATATATTCACGATCAGCTATGACCTCATAATACAAGCTTAATTTCCTCAGGAAATGCAATAAAATATTTTGGAAAATAATTTGACAAATACTCTTATGACTGAAAATGCTGGTGGTATGCACACATTATCAAGCTTAAAATAATACAAAATACTGATATGATATTAATAAGCTTGAGATCTTTAGTTGAACCTTTAAGCAGTAAGCTATTACAAGTATAGTTGACAAGATAATTTTTTTCCCTCTTCTCCACACCGACTTCAATGAATAAATACTTTTTTTGAGGTAGCAGTTGCGATGTCACATGACTACATGTAAACCAGATAAATAAATTATACCATCTCTGGCAGAGGTAAACAAAGGTATCATTCCACTTACAATCATTATAACTTATAGCACTAGACAAAACTTGTAGCACTTGTCGTAATAAAAAGTGACTTAGGAATGCTAGTTATTCACAACACAATTCACCAGCTGTTGGACGACCCCCTGAAGCCCTGTTCTATTGATTCACAATGTCCTCTCTATAGTTTCTCCCCCTCATAACGTGAACATCAATAGGTACATCGCAAGAGCACTGATGGCCCCCGCCACAGGAACGGTTCCCACCCAGGCTAGGATGATGTTTCTGAAGAGCTTCCAGTCTACGTTCTGTTTTGATCGTACCCTACCCACGGATACCACCGAGCCGACCTTGCAGTGCGTTGTGCTGATAGGAATGCCCACGTTAGAAGCCAACAGGACGGTCAGAGCTGAACCAACCTCAATACAGAAGCCACTGAAAAATAAAAACATCAAATGCTCATTTATACCTACAACTACAGTCTAACCTTGTTATCGCAAACTAAATGGAACTAATGAAAAATTTGGAGATATCCAAGTTTTTGAGAAAGAAAGATAGGTAAATTAATGGAAATTTTTTAACAAATTGTCCTTTAATTATTGAAAGTGAATTATAATTCCAGTCCCTCTTATGCTGTGCTCTGTCGTACCTGGACGGTGTTGTTTTGGCGAGATCCTCCCCCAGGGTTTTGATGACTCTTCTTCCCCACACCCACAGGCCAATGGTGATTCCCACTCCTCCATAAACCAAGATCCAGATGGGAGTCTGAGTCTTCTGGGCAGCGCTTCCCTCCGTACCAATGATCCACAATGCAACCAGAGGTCCAATGGAATTGCTGTGAACAGTCAAAAGTATGGTATTATTCTCAAATATTAACAAGAAATAGTTTACACAATTTGTCTTATATTTCTTTATTTATTAAGAACACTGACATTTTTTTTTATTTGCACAGAATTTTTTCTATAAATTAGACTAAAGGTGACCTGTTTATCTCACCATTGCTAAATTTGCGAGGTTTCCTGTTTAAGATAAAAATCTTACCTGACATCATTTCCTCCATGAGCGAAGGATCCAAACACTGCTGTAAGGATTTGAAGGAATGAGAAAAGTTTGATGGTTTCTGGTTTGTCTGTTACTGCATTTCTGGCTATCTCTAAATCTACCTCAATCTGCAAATGTCCAAAGGTGTAAAATTTAGTTAGAGTTATCTCTCTTTACCTGCTATTCCAATATTATCTTTCTCCATTCCACTTTATAGACATTGATAAAATACTTCACCTTCACATCAGCCACACTTTCAATGCTGTCACCAGGTGTTCCATTTTCTTCTGTATTTTTAGCTACAATCAAAACATTTCATTACTTATCTCTGACACACATTGAGAGGGAAAAAAGAAGTGGCTGGTAATCTTTCTACCTATTTTTGATAGATGTATCTAACAATACATGAATGTTGAAAAATCTGTGTGATAAAATTTTGTAGTGAATGATTGTTTTTAAAAAGCAGGAAAGGGTACAGGTAAGGTTTGTTTGGAAATAATCGAAAAACCTGAGGAAAACAATGCAAAAGATTAGTGAATGTGCTGGTCTGGGGGTTTGAAAGGAGACTTAATAAATTTGAACCATTAGTTTCCATGGTGTGATACCCTAGTAAAGATAACAGATAAAACTTTTGATCATTGCTGTTGAAAAAAATTGAAAAACTATGGGAAAAGAATCATTCCAGGTAAACACACACAAAATGGGGGTGTCTTACCTTTGGCAGAGACAGGTGTACACAAGAGTGGAGCTGAGGAATGGCAGGATGTGTCAGACTCTGGGGTGGAAACTGAAAAACACAGACACTCAAAATACAGACATCACAAACAAGTCAGGTATGTATATCATCTACTGTAAACCAACTTTTTTTTTTTTACATGTGAGATATGTCTGCAATGTTCTGACTTTTTTTTTTTTGGGGGGGGGGGGGAGGGGGGGTATTCTTACATATTTCTAACTGCAAACTATTGGAGCATTTATAGACATTTTCTCTGTAATGAAATTAATTATGTGGGATGGATTTTAAAGAAAAGAATTTCAAGTTGTCATGAATAACAGTTGGTTTACAGTATATTAATGAGAATTTAATGAACAACTTGAAAATCAATATTGATAAGATACAACAATAAAACGATGGTTAAAAACTGTGCATATTGATTTAGAAAAACAACTGTTGCACTTATGAGCACCAATGAATATTCTTGTGAGTATAAATTTTCTACTCTATGGGGTGTGCAGTAACACTTACAATTGCTAGGGATTTTGGACTGAGGAATACTGAGGTCTTTTTCTATCACATTTCCGTTAAGCATTGAAGGAGTCAACAGCTTTTCACTGAGAATTGCTAAGTTTGCTGAAAATGAAAACATTCCAAACTAAGAAAGCAAAGAAGTTACTAAAATGTTCTACTGAAAATAAGTCTGCTCTTGGGAGAAAGAAGAAATCTCAACTGTTCAAAAGAAAGTTTGCTATGACGTGTAAAGCCTATATCTTCAAGCAAAAAGATGTGCACAACTTTTTAAAAAGTTCTTGACATAAACAAAGACACACAATCACACATAACACTTACCACCCATAGGAAACTTCTTTCCACTTGGAGAAACTTCCAATTCATTTTTTCCTGAAAAACAACACAAAGAATTATTAGATAATGCAAGGTTTCTCCTAGGTTTGGTAGTATATACTAAATACTTACATGTTGCACCTGAAAACAGAGGTTAGTAAACTACAGAGAGAGCATACAGATAGACATATACCTGAAAAGAAGATAGCTGTTAAGAGAGCATAGAGATCAATCTAATCTCTATGAAATACTACCTCCCGAATACATCTTACTCAACCCTATTCTGGGATGGCCAAATCAGCCAATGAGAGATGCCCTAATCTTTTCATCCAATCAGAAAACAGCTGGCAAATCTTGTCAGCCAATCATACCCTTTCAGACAACAGGTGCCCTTACCAATATTCTCTTTATTCTCATCATCTATCAACTGGCGTCTGGAGACGTCATCATTGTCCACTGTTTAATAAAAACAGAGTCAAGTTATACAACTTGTCTATCCCCCCACACATATGTCGAGCTTAGAGTCCCCAAATATAAGAAATGTTATACTTACATGTTGTTTCCAATATGTCTTTTCCTTTCTCCGACTCTTCTACTTGACACTCCTCTACATATTCTGAAAAGATTACACAAACCACTCAGCAAAATGCTCAAATCTAATCACATTTAGATTCTCTCTATTGTAATTGTTTGGAAGTCAGTGTGGCTGCTGGTTAATGTGTTTCACTTACTTTGGATCTTTTTCCTGTACCAGGGAACAAACGCCAGCCTGATAACAACAGCTACAATAACGGCCGAACCAAAAGTGATGATGAACACGCCATATAGTGGTATCTTATCAAATTTCAGCACTGAAAAAAAATCTCCAATATACAACACTGTAATATGTAAATTATACAATGCAGAGGCAATAATTTGTCCTCAGAAAATAAATACTATTAGTAATTTGTTCAGTGAGAATTAAAACACAGCAATGCATTTACTGTCAATCTTAAGATAGTTCTTTTTCTCGCTCTCCACAACTTCAACACATCTATAAAAACTTCCCTATTACACACTAAATTGCACCATTCAAAATTGTGGTTACACGACTCAATTACATGTATCTTCACACACAGGATTCTAGAGCTACAGAGTACTTACATGCAGATCCTTTGTAGAAGACGGAGAAGAGGTTGATGGCGGCAGTGAGGGCGTAAAACAGGGGGAGTACCCTCAGACCGGGCTCCAGGGGCTTCTCCTTATTTAGCACCAGAAACTTAATGGCCAGGAACACCAGAACACTGATGATACCGGACAGGAGGGGGGAAATGAACCAAGAACCAACTGTCAGAGATAAAAATAGACTTCCTTATAACATACCAAAACACTATGTTCTTTCCAATGAGATACCTAGAAAATGATATTCTATGAAATATTAAAAGGTCTGAAAATTAAGTTTTATCTTTCCTTTATACTTCAATATAAAAACGATTTTTTTTTAGTGGGGGGTGGGGGGTGGGGGGTAATGTATTAAATCTTAACACTGAATATTTAATTCCCATTTTAGGACCTTTTGAAGTGCCTTTGAGAATATAAATCTTAGCATTCTTACCAATAAATCCCATCTTCATCCAGTTAATCCCCTTGTGTCCATGAGCCACCAAAGCAAACCCCACTGTGGCCCCCACAATGCTATGGGTGGTGGAAACGGGGAGCTTCAGAATTGTGGCTACAAACAGCCATATACAGGAACCTGGAAACCAAATTCAAGATTCTATCAAAATTTTTTTTTTTTAAATTGAATTAATGACATCACAAAGACCAAGTTCTGCATTGCAAGATAATGTTAATCTTTCACCAAGAGATCTAGAGTTCCCTAAAACACTTAATTACCCATAAAACTAGTAAATTCCTACACAAATCTTTAGAAACCTTAATATAAATGACAATAGGCATTCATGTTATGTTGTGCACACTGATATGACTGACATATTGTACATACTAAACAGCTGTGCCCTATCAGGCAAAACAAAATATTGTTTTGTAAAATAAACAAAAGACTGACATGGAACAATTAATTGATGAACAATTTTTTTCTCCTAATAAATCAATGAGAAGAAATGAACTGGATATGTTATACAGTAGAGCATTTTCAATCAGATGAATTATTTGGATAATGATCAGCACCATATGTGAGTTATTTCTGTACACTTGGCACGCTCTCACCTACCGTTATATCAAGACCTCAGGCACGCAGCCATACCCTCACTTACACTCTATGTTTGCAAACGTTATCAGACTTATTTTCCTTCCAGTGGTTTACTTTTTTCAACTTTGATTTGGCCAATCTTGGGTGCATAACCTCTCTCTTTTTTTAAGTTTACATAAAATTAATGGTTGTTTTCCTCAAGGTGAACTTTTCACTGTAATAATTAATTTATTTTGCATGTAATGCTGAATCTACGGCTGTTCTCGCATTAGTGTTACCTGTTAGAGCTGCCACATTGCCCACCATCAGTGTACTTTCTGTCCCGTTATACAATTCTACATCTATAATCCCTTTACGTATTGTGTCTGACACTCTGTAACCTACAGAAGAAAAAAAAAGAACATTGATTGCTGACATCAGCTGGAAACTGCAGCCTTTATAAATTGTTAATCTCTCCCTTTGATGTGTAAACAATGAATTAGGGATTGTTTCTTTAGAATCAGTGTTGTTGATTCTAATTTTATTAATATATCTATTTAAATGGGTTTACAATAAACAAATAGCTTTATTTAAATTTAATTATACATTTCTTAATATCTTTCATTCATTTTCTTGTGTAAACAAATTTCAAGACAAATACTTGCGTAACAACACAATCCTGCATTGATTTTCAGGACTTGTTTTTTTTTTTGGCTAATATCCCCTGTTAATCTGACAAGTCTCACTCACCTATAAGAATGGCTCCCAAAATCTCAAATATACTGCCGAGAATGCAGGCCTGTCGCAGGGTGAGCACCTTAGCTCCAACGGATGTTCCAAACGAGTTGGCCACATCATTAGCACCAATTGCAAATGACAGAACAAAAGCAATGATAAAGCCCACAATTATCATCCATAGGTACTCATCTGGTATTGACACCATTTTTCTCTGAAATAATTAGTAATATCCTTGTTTAATGTCTTGTAAATTTTCTCCTTTATACATTGTAAATATTGCCAGCAATTTTTACCTTCACAATCTTATCCTGTTGAACTTAAAACCAGATACACAATCTATCGCTGGGATTTGTTTTCCTTTGTTATTTACTTTCTGATTATACCTGAAATGAAAACAAAAACTGAATAATTATAATTTAATGTGTTATATTTAGAATAGATCATACAAGGAAGTTATTACCCCTTGTACAAATGAGACTAAAAAAGACAGGTACAGTTGTATACTTCCTTTTTTCTGCATATTCAATCAGTTGATAAATTAATTTGTGATATATTGAAAATGTCAGATTAACAGAAAATAAAACACCCCCCCCCCCACTTATTCCATTTATTGCATGGTGTCAAAAAGCAAATAAAGACTCTTTGCAGTCAAATTTTAAATTTGTTATCCATGTAATTATCATCCAAGGTACATGTATTTAATAGTGACATATCTTTATAATTTTATATTTGTCAAATTTTAATTTGTACTTTAAATCATTTAAATTTGAAAATTAAAAGCAAAAATTGCAGGCAGACATTTAAATTTCTGAAATGACCCTTAGACATCTTTCAATTTAAAATTGTACATTGATACACTGATATTTATTAAAAGCAAAGTAGAAAATAAATCTTTTAAAAAAAATTACAGAAATTGTGAGAAAAAAATATTTTACCCGAGTCTGTTTCATTCAAACTTGAAGATAAATTAATTTTAACAATTTTTAAAACCCATATATTAAAATAAAGTTATTCAAATATTTACCCTTTTACCTTAACTAAACCAGTTAATTAAAAAAATTCCTATGTAAAAAAAAAAAATATGTTATTTACATACTTAAATTAACCTACCCACGACTCTCGTCTTTGGATTATAACTGAGTGCCTGTTTTAACTGTTTAACATTGCGCCAAGTGACGAGCGGGATTTCGCACGCGCCAGATCACTCTCAACCAATCAAAATTCAGTGTATTGTTCATGTTTCACTCATGATCGGTAAATACTCCACTAAAGCTTACTATATCACTCCCAATAAAAATAAACTTATTTCTAAATTGAATTTTAAATTATGAAATTGCGAAGAAAAAAAAAAACATAGTTTGGTCGGGTAGTCATGGAATTCTAATCATTTGTTTCGTTTAAACAGAAATATGGTAAGCATGGTTATAGTTCCGTTTTCCTGTTTGGTTTTAAATGAAAATCACAAAAATCTTTATTTTCTTAAAATCACAAAAACCTCCAAATTAAACAAGATGATAAGAGAAATATACAGAAGACATTATTTTAAAAAACTTGATCGGGAAAAGCGATAAAACACACGAAACATGACAAGTCTCAGATTGACTAAATTTGACCGTCGTAAGCCCACGTGGTTTTTACTATCGTCTTACGATTGAGGTCAGACTCGATCCCATAGATAAAAGTTTACCTGAAGATTGTCATGAAAGAATGCTAATATTTACAATATACCAAAAATATCACAACATGATGACTTTAGCCTACCTGGATATAGATAAGAAATAAAATTTTCCAAAGTAGATCTAGTGCTCGCACACAACAGTCGGCTTCTTGTGTCTGAATAGCGCATGCGTAAATATTAATAAGGTTATGAATGAACAGCACCGAACCGATTTAGTCTGGATCAATCGTAAACTACTCAACCGTGAAGGATAAATTATTTCTTATTTATTAGTTACGAATAAAGTAACACAAAACAATTCTTTAAATAACATTAAATTCATCCACATGTACTATGTAGTTCTAATCCCTATTCTGGCATCAATATTGAATCAATAAAATGATGAACTTTTTTTTTTAAATAATAAAGATGCCTCGTAAAAAGTCAAAGCTCTAATCCCTATTCTGACATCAATATTGAAACAATAAAATGATGAACTTTTTAAAAAAAAAAATAATAAAGATGCCTCGTAAAAAGTCAAAATTAAACCATTTAAAGAAAATGATTGACTACGAAGAAAAAGAAGAGGATCGGCAATATTTAACGACACAGAACACCAGTGACGGTAAATAAATCTTTAAATCCTAATCTTCTTAACTAGAGATCTGTATTATGTTTAATCAAAACATAAGCATTAATGGAAGAATGGATTTAATTTCAGGTTGATCGCAGAAAATGTGTAACTCGCAAGGATATAATCTACAAATAAATGACGTCGATGCTTTATTCCATCACAAAGTAACTAAAACATGTTTGTAGAGAACCTTAATCTTTATTACCAAATATTATAAATGAATGAGTTTTTTTATAGTCAAACCTGATATACCAAGACAAAATTATAGATCTGAATTTTGGAATTAAAAAAAAATATATTGTCAAGCAGGGTCGTACGTGGCATCGTTTTTGAAGGGGAGGGGCGGACAGTTAAAGAAAAAAATCTACTTACCTGAAAAAAGTTGACAAGCAATAAAAAAAATGAGAGTGGAAAATTCTCCAAACTCGGAAATCCTATTTCGTGGGGCATGAGTGGGGTGGGGGATAATTTTTTAACTTCTTTCAGGTATACCAATTTTTTCCTCATGTAAATCTGACACTACGCTATATAAATTATCCTTATTTACTACAGTGTATATTGCAACAAAAAAGGCGGGATAACGGACTTTCAATGCGCATTTCAATTGTTAGAAGTTATGTTTGGAATTGAGTGCCCCCTCCCCAATGGAACATGCCTGCCAAGTATAACAAACGATTTTTCAAAGATTAAAGATGCACAATCGTACAGATATACCGTTCCCCTTCTTTAAATGTGCTCTCTCTCTCTCTTTCTCTCTCTGTTAATTTGGTGATCCATATAAAACTCCATGCCTTCTAATATTCTCATGTTATGCTGAATAATTTGTTATGAAATATTTTTCACATCGGAAATTGTTCTCATCAATGTTGTGCCATATCGTACTTGAAATTACATTGCGGGGACCTTTGTCAGAAATGGATTCCATTTAAACATATAGGTGCATATGTCAGTACCTATGCTTTGTTTTTTCGTTGTGTAACAAAAATATGTTTTAGGATTACGGTAGACATTTTAAATTATAATCTGAATAAAATTGTTTGTAAAGCAAGTTCTTAATTCATGGATTTCATGCAAACACCAAAAATGAAGAATGTCAAATTAAAAACAAATACTGAATAAAATTTAGCTATCGTCCAAATTCTTATGAAATATTTGTCACATATGTCTCAATTGACCTTCCCTAGACAAAGTTAGGAATTATATAAACGACTTCTTTTTATAATAAGACACGCATTTAAATTTGATTAAACACAATATTATAGATTAATTGTTAACAGCACCATATGTAGTGGTACAGTAAATAGGCTTGGTATTAAAAAATTAGTAATTCGACTGTCTTCTTCGACGAGAAAAATTTTCATTTATTTTTACATTGAATTCAAAGTTATAAAGTAAAATTTATTTCTCTATTTTTTATTTCCTTTTTCTCAACATCGTGGAGTTAATTTTGTTTTCTCTGAAAAGACTGGTAAAGTAAAAAATTAAAACACATCATTATACCGTTTGTAACGATGGATTGAATTAGCATGATGCGTATGAGGCTTAAACTCGGTCAAAAAGTCTAACATTAATTGTGATACATTATGTGTAACCCCCCTCCCCTCCCCCTTCCCCTAAAAAAATTAAAATTGTAAATAACAGGTCCGTATGAAACAATTTCAGTCGGAAGAAGGGAGACACAACCAACTACAAATATTTTTTTAACAAGCATTAAAAAAAGTAATATCAGATGTTATTCATCGTCTCAAGCCACGGTTCGGAGTCCGCATATAGCTCCCTCCAGAATGGGAGAGGGTCATTTAATGGATGTTATTGGGCACAAGCATACATATATATAGTAGCTAGATATCTGTATCTATTATATGCAGCATTCTATACATAGGCAAAATTATACCCCCCCATTTCCTACGATGTAAAAATATTTTGTTACGAGTGCGTTGTATAGACATGCACTCGACAAGCGCTTATTTTAGTTCTGGTTTAAATATGCATTAAGTACAGTAAATGTACAATGCTTTGCGGGACTTAAATTTTATTTAAGTTTATTTAAAGACGCGTAGGGATTAAAAGGTCAGACGCAAGTGAAATATTACATACATTATATAATTACTTTATAATTTCTCTACGTAATGAATTATGACATGAACTCTCTTTTCGGAACTTGTGAGAAGCAAAGAAATAGCCTTTCCGTTAAATGTAACAATAGAACACCTTTTCGTTCAGAAAAAGAATCAATTATGACAGAAAAAACTGAAATGTTGACAGTAGTACGTTCAGAAGACATCTCGGTAAACATTTGGACAATACACGGGGTTGAAACTAAACAAAGTTTTTCAGAACCAAATATTTAACGACATTGAATTATTAATTTATTTTATTGACTTGATTGATTAGAAAAACGAAATTTCGTACTTCACTTTATCTCACTAATAGAATGTCAGCATCAGAAATTGGATGATCAAAGAATTTCTTTTAAAAGAAAGAACTGATACCCCCCCCCCTCTCTCTTATCTTTTTTTTTTTTTTAAAGAAACCGACTTTCCACAAATTTTTTTTAACAACAAACTTGGTCATTATAATTAGACAAAGTTTGTTTTTAAAAAAATATTTGTCAAAAGACAATGCACACAATTCCAGGGCACCAGATACCGTTAAATTAAGCCAACACTTTTTATCCACATGGAATGAAATGGCTCTATTTTTCTGAAAGGTATTTAAAAATATTTAGATTAACACGCCACTCAGCAGAGTTGAAAAATTCAGGTTTGGTAACTGATAAAGTATGCTTAAAAGTATAATTAATTATCATATGAGGAACAACAAACAGATGAAAAATTAAAAACCAAAATGCAAAATAAGGAACAGTATATTATCTTTTGATAAAAAGTTTTAAAAAATTATTATTATTAATTGTTTTTTTTTTTCATATATATGTATATACTTCATTATATTTCTCTTTTCATTTTTTTATGTTATTAAAAATTGTCGAAGATGAATTTAAAATAAAGAAAAATAACATTAAAATAGTCGATCATAATAAAATTTAAGTTACATGTATTTTAAAAAAAAATTATAATTATAAAATCAGACACTAAGTAATTAATAAACTTCCGCATTCTGATGAATAATTTATTGACTAATTTTTATAATGAATAAAATTTAATTCTTTAATTTGAAATTAACATTTTGTATTTAAAAGTTGGTTATAAGGTATATTATACGCGACATGTATGTTTAACATTTGCCTACCTCCCTGTGATGCGACAGATGGCAGCCCATAATGGGACAGGACAGCATGTGCCAACGATTTTATGAATGAAAATATACATCACGAGTGAAACACGAGTGGTATATACACTTATTTCTAAATAATTTACATACACTTTTGGTATAATTTTTGTTTTGCATTACAGAACATTAAATATCTTGGCAAAAGTAGTGTACGTATAAACATGGAGAATACTTTGAGTGGCAGTGGTCCCTAACTCAGATTTCAGAGTCGTCAAAATTTTGACCAAGAATCAAATTTTGTCTATGATCAGATCTTCAAGTTGAGTACCCTAATATGATACATATATATATATATAATTAAAAAATTACAATCAAAAAAGAATCTTTAAGGGATTCACAAATATATTTCATATTATATATGTATGCCTGAAAGTTTCTGCCAAAAAGTTGCAAACGGAATATGAAAAAGAAATTAAATCCAAAGTTTTTGTCTACCCCCCCCCCCCCCCCCCCCCACTTCTTACAAGATAGGGTTTCATTTTCTTTTTTGTTTTTGAGTTGGATCCGCACGCCCTTTGGAAAAATATTGAAGCTTTGTTACTAAATTACAAGAAAGGAAACATTTTTATTATACCTCATTTTTTTTACTAAGATTCTATACAACGCTTATCTGATTGGTTCTAGATTATCACGTGACAGGGCCATACAACTTCATATTTTCCTGTCGAAAAAAGTTTGTATTTATTTTTAAAGTTTTTGTTTGTTTCGGTATAATAAACAATTCATTGCATGGATGTTCAGGAAACATGAAGATTTATTCAGCCAAGTAAATAATACATGTATTCCCCGGGGGCTTCGGATTTGGCCAAGAAATATCATATAATCCCCTCGGACGAAACACTTCGGGAATGTGATTTTTCTTGGCTGAATAAATCTTCATATTTTAAATCACGATCATGCAATAAATGTATATCAATATCACGGTATATAAGCATGGGTATATCGAATTAACATTCTCATGTTATCAACATATGATTTGGAATACATGTCACTTCAGACAGACCTTGGAGAAACATTCCCTCGGAATCTGAGACAATGACCCAAATTTCAAGTAAATATTAACATTGAAGAAGTAAGATAACCGAGTGCTCGATTTACCTTACACGACCTTTTCTCCATATAATATTATTCAATTATTGGTGTTTTTGAGGCCAGTACGAATAGTTGAAATAGTTATCCTGAAAGTACAATATTTACCGAACATGAAAGTTGATATGAACAGGTGAATGTCTAAATATTCGTTTTGA